GTACCTGTCAGTAAAAGGTGACACTCTTGCCCTTCTTCTCCCACGTCAGGCTTGTTTTTACAGCTTGACTGTGCTTTCTGCTGCCCCATGGATTAGCAGATCCTCTCCTCTCTCCCACCTGCCCACCAGCAATGGTCCTGTTGTTGCTTCTGGAAATTTGTTCTGGAAAAGCTGCAACAGCTCTGTCTCTCCTGGGTATATCAAGTCTTCTCCTTTGACCAAGCCAGCTCAGAGCCTGACTTTTAACTGTGGTTAAGAAGGTGTTGTCACCCCCGTGGTCAGGACAAAACTTTCCAAGGAAAGCATAAGAAAAGAATGTGAGTTCTTCAGGGAGGTCATGGGTAGAGTGTGATTTTTCAACTGCTCAGAAAGGAAGCTTTGGTTCTTTAGACTTCAATAAGGTAAGGTCTAGTGCAGTAAGAGTTTACCATGCAAGTCTACAGTCATTTGATGACTTTCCCCTTTGATATGATGAGCTAACACAGGAAGTTGGAGCATGACTTCAAGAAGACAATTGTCAGGAAGCAGTGGACACAATTGGGAATGTGAGAAACTTGGATTAGACATTAGGAATTATTTTTAACTTGAGGATACCTAAACACTAGAATAAGTTGCCCAGAAAGGTTAGGAAATCTCTGCCCTTGTGGCTGTTCAGGCCTCAGCTGGACATGATCTTGAACAATGTGATCTAACTAGACATGATTTTTAACAATGGGGTCAGAATGGCCTGTGGAGATCCCCTCTGTCTGCAGCAGAGTCTCTGATTCTGCTGTTCTGTGGTGACTCCATTTTCTTTTCCTTTTTTCAGCAGCAAGAAGCACCACAGGATGGCAGCCCCTCGTTACTATGTCACAAGTAAAAGGATGCAGTGTGGTGCCTTCATGTCAGATCACCAAACAATGTCATTCAGCAGAACTTTGAGCCAGTATTTCCTGTTGTAAGGGTGTCTATCATTTCTGGGGTCATCCCTTCAAAAACCATGGCTTTGGATGGTGTTCATTCCCATGCTCATGTCTAATAGTGTCATTCCGTAGCCCTCCTATCCCTAATTTCTCTCTACTGTTGCACATACTCTTCTTGAAAGCTCCTCTCTTCCAGGACTGCAAGTGCTCCCCAGCTCCATGTGGTATCACCACAGAGCTGGCTGCTCTTGGATGCCCTGGGGGAAACGTTGACTTTGAATCTGGCAAACCTGATGTCCCATTTTTATCTCTCCTGTCTTCTACCCTGTTCTTTGGGGTTGGTTTGTGTTTCGCTCCTTGGCTGATAGCTGTACCTTCGTGTATCCTTCTGTCCTTCCTTTGCGCTTCCATGTTGGGTTGCAGTGCCCATCCTGCTGTAAATACCAACTAGTTTGGAATACTCTCGCCTTGTAGGCATTGGAAAAGTATTTGGGAAGCAGAGGAGAGTGCTGTCATTTAGGCTGTTTGTGGAGACCAAAGGCTGCTCTTTGCCTCAGTGAAAATCACAGAAGCACTGAAGGAGAGGGAGAGCCTAACCTTGGCAGAAAGAAAAAGGCTCAGGTGCCAGTTGGGTGCTCCTTGTCTAACCTAAGGATGCCAGCAGGAAATGTAGTTTGAGGGGAATCAGAGTTGCCCATTCTAGAATTTTTGGGACATTAGCAGGATATTTGTGCCTTCTATGCCATAGGGGGTGAAATTAGGGTCCTTTCTTCTCCTTCCCTATCCAACCCATCTGAGCAGCTCTCCATGCTGGAACTGCTCCCTCTAACCCTTACACATCCCTGAACCATCCAGATCTCTCAATGGAGGAAATGACAGTTATTTATAATTGAGCCTTGACAAAAAATGTTGCTAATGTCAAGGGAACGGCAGGCGACAGCCAGAAAAACATCATGTCTCCAGAAGAGGGGCTGCAGGAATATCCCTCTGAATAGGGCTGACGTCGGCTCTTGGAATTTGGACAGCCTGGAAGGCTTTGGGGCTATTTTTCCGAGATATCATGGGTCAGGAATTGATGCTATTTTTAAGTCTGTGTCCCCCGAGCAGCTCTGATGAGTGAAGGAGACTTTCTCTCCCCCCTCCCCCTCCTCATGCTCTATTTCTATGAAATTTTTGCTTTTATTCCTTCCGAGTCATGCCACAAGTATGTCCTTCAGGTTTGTTTATTCTTCTCACTATCTATTCCTCCTGGCCTGCTCCCGTCTTGGTTGGGTTGAAGGGATGGCGTCAGCGTGGCGCGTGTCTGGGATGCTCAGGCGAGACATCACAGAGAAGGGATCAAATTCTCCTAATTTGTCCTTTCCGGTTGGGAGAGTTTTCTCTCCACAAGCTGATGTGGCTGGGGAAAGTGTTCTGGGAATGCTGCTTTGTGGTGGGAGATCTCGGGGCCTGGTGAAGACAGGCTGGTCATCTCATCTCGCCACATAGTCCAGCCAAGATTTTTCTGAAGTAACTGAATCTTCAGAGCTCCTGGGAAGATGGGTGAGATGCCTCCAGCCTGGGATGGTCTTATGGGACTGACTGGTAGGAGAGAGGCACTCAGAAGGCCCTGATTGTCTGACACCTCCCAAGTCAGCTGTGGCTTTTGAAAGCCTGTGCTGTTTCAGGTCCATGGAAATAGCCCTTGGGTTTACCCAGCTCTGTTCCACATGCTACCCTGCTCTAGTTTATTTCTGGAATCCTTTATTTTTTTCATTTTTTTCCTCCTGCTCTTCAGTTTGCTGTAGCAACCTCTCTCTTTCTAAACAAGCCTGTTGGTGTAAGAGCTCGACCAGCTTCTTGCCATGTCAAACAGAGCATTTGCACATCTCACTGGTTTCCTTTCTCACTTCACATCTCAGATGAGAACATGCCTTTTTCCCCTTAGCCTGCGCTCAGCTCCATCCTTCTCTCCGTCATCCCATGTGGTAAGGAATGCACTAATGGGCATCACTGCTAATGGACACCACCAGAAGCACCTTGTTCAAACAGAGCTGGTATTTCTTCATGGTGAGCCCAGCGTAAAGAAACGATTGTGCTCCCTTCATCATCTATCCATGTAGCTCAAAGATGCCAATTGCTCCTGGAAGCATGGGAATAAGTGAAATGCTTTCCACCACCTTAATGTTGCTGTTGGCCCCATGCTGCAGGTTTAGTCATTCTTATGACATATTTCCACAATGGTGTGTTTCCATCATCATTCCAGTGATGTATTTAAAGCCTTTCCATGAGTTGTTTTTTTTTTCTTGCTTAGAATCTCTTAAATGAATGGCTTCACAAACTGTGGGTCAGGGTCTTCAAGTTTTGAAGACTTAGAGACAAGTCACAGAAATGTGGAGACAATGTCTGCTACCTGTCCTAATCCTGCCTCAGCCCGTGAGGTTAATGGCACAGATGGTGGGAAATGGTAATAATTGATTTATAGAATCATAGAATATTCTGCAATGTAAGGGACCCACAAGGATTACTAAAGCCCATTTAAAAGGGTACCTGGCATTTGCAGCACAGTCCAGGGCCTTATAAGTCCATTTATGTTATTACTGGAATTATTATTGCTGATATTAGGTTAGACCTTGGTTGTTTTGCATAGCTGAGGACATGAACTCCCTAAAGACCAGTGCTGGGACTATTGATGTGCTGGTGAATGTGATGCAGTCTTTTCACCTGTGCAGAAACACTCACACAGAGGGAAGAGTGAAATCTAAATTTCCTGACTGCTGGATTTTTATTTTATTTTGATCTCCAAGTGCTGAGATATGCCACGTTTTGAGGATCACTTTATGGACACTCAGACATGCCCACATTGCTCTGTTGCAATGCCTTGTGCCTACCCACCTCTCCCTGCCCATTACCTTCCTGTGGCCTTTAGGAATAGATGTCTTGGATATCCCATTCCAGTGTTTCTCCTGCTCCTGCAACTCTTTATTCCCAGCTCTGAAGATGGGAGGAGAGACAACCAGCAGTGTTGTCAGGAGACTTTCCCCACAGATTTGTCCTTTGATGAATCTGGCTCCAGAGATTACCCTCTCCTCATTAAGCTTATTTTGAGAGATCTTTTTTTCACCTGCTGGCTCCTACAGACTTTCCAGACCTCATCTGAAAGATTCAGATCATGAGCTGAGGGGGGAAAGTCTTCTCTAAGGTCCATTTTGAGTAGACCTGCAAGATTTTTGGGTTTTTTTCCTTCTATTTTTAAGATTTTTTTTTTTTTTAGAGCAAGTTCCAAGATACCTGTTGCTCATGCTCTTCCCTGTGCAATAGCTGGGGATGTGTCTTGATGAGTGATGTGCCTGTGCACTGCCAGGACACCCTTGTTTTTGCCATGTACTGCCATCTCTTGCATTCTGGTTTTCCTGGGGAAAAGGATGGAATGTAAGTCCAGATAGACTAGAGAAGCTGGAGAAGACTTTTCAGCCCCAGCTGACAAACTCTCTCTGCTCCCAACAGTAAGGTTTGATGTCCATTCCTGTCCTGTATCAGAGGCAACCCCTGAAAACCCCTTCTTAGAAACAATTGGACTTCTGGATTCATTCTTTTTTCCCTCCACCTCAAATTCTGCTTTTCTGATGCCAAACTACCTCTCTTTTCCCTAGCAGGACCAACCTCTGCATCCCTTTCCCTTTCCCTTTCCCTTTCCCTTTCCCTTTCCCTTTCCCTTTCCCTTTCCCTCCCCAATGTTTTCTCCTCCTGCTTGTTCCCTGTTATCCTATTTTGTTGGGCTTCTTTTATCCCCATGGTTAGAAAAACTTTTCAGAGTAGAACGCAGCAACAAAGCTACTGTAATTGGCAAAACAATGGAAGGCTTGCATGAGTGCCTTCCACCCCCACCCAAACCCTTCACTAGCTGAACTTGCACCTTACAGAGCAGAGTTTGCTGTGTCACAGGACATCCTGCTAAAATGCTGAATTTTTCTGTGCTTTAAAATGCTCTTGGTTTCAGAGTTGAGGATGTCTCCAGGTCTGCTGCTTCATTTGTAGGATGTCTGTGGATGGCTCCTGGTTTTCCTCCTCATTCTGTTGGAGTGTGTGCTGACTATCTTCTCTCTTTTGTCCTTGCAGGGCATACATGAGTGTGAAGGAGCTGAAGGAGGCTCTGCAGCTGAACAGCACCCATTTCCTCAATGTTTACTTTGCCAGTTCGGTGAGGGAGGAGTTGGCTGGTGCTGCCACTTGGCCGTGGGATAAAGAGGCCCTTAGTCACCTGGGTAAGTAACTTATCCCCTTCCTGGGCTCTCAGAATTACTGGTTTTCCTCTCTCTTCCTTGACTTGGCAAAAAGAGGCAGATGGGCTGTTCCTCAGCATTGTGGATGTTTGATAAGGTCACAATAACAGGGTGTGGGTGTTCCAGCAGCTGTAAGGAAAAGAGCTGCCTGTTGCCTGAATCCATGTGGGTAAGATGGTGAGGTTATACACTGACAACGTTATCATCAGGCACTTCTGATGGTGAAGGAAGAGAGGCAGTGGGACTACAGGTTTACCATAAGTGCAGGCTCTGGAAAGAGTTCTAGACTCACATTTGGTTTCTCCTGGACCTTCCAGGTCTACCTTCTAGGATTCTGGAGACAGTGAACTTCACTCTACAGCATGTAATAGCAAACAGATACAAAGCAGGAGTGTCAGTGTTTTCAGAGCTGAGATGGCAGATTTCAGCAGCTCCAGGGCTGCCCAGGCAGCAGCCAGAACTGGCCACTTCCAAATCCAGCTGCAAGTGTGAGGATAACTATCAAATTTTACCATGTTTTTATAACTTGGCCTACTACCTGCTGGAGACAAGGTTCTCCTTGGCCTCAGAGGATTCAGAGCAGACCCTTAAGGTCATCAGTCCTCATAGGCTGCAAAACAGCCAAAATGGCAGCTGGTTCCAGAATGTGGTTGTTTTGTGAATTTTCTGCTATTTCTGTTGTTTCTCTTTTTCCTGCCTCTCCTACCACCCCTTCAGTGTTGGAGTTTTCTGGCAAAGCCCTTTACACTTTGCAGTCAAAATGTCTAAAGTGTTTCTCAATAAGTAACTGGAAATAATTATTCCTGACACCTGCACAGCAGACCTAGACCTTCTGCTTTTACAAGTGCGTGATGTTCAACCCTTAAAAGTTTTACGCTGCTATTAAAGACCTGTTTCAAAGTTCCTTTTTGCCAGTTTCCCTCCTTCAATGAGTTTCAAGGCTGTTTTTTCAATAGCATATTGCTACAGCTGCTAGTTGAGGAAGGCAAATCTCCATGAAATTTATTCTTTCAGCTTCCAGAAATCACTTCCAAGGCTCAGCTTGACAATCATCTGACTGCAGCAAGTGCTTCAGCCACACACGTTCCCCTCAGGCCCCTCCCAATGGCTTGCAAGCAGTTGTGCAGAGGGGTAATTGGGGTGACTGGTCTCATCAAAAGCTTGCAGTTAGCTCCAGGCTCTATGCTTGTGTCCAGCCAGGGACACGAGGAATGGCACCATCTGGAAATGTTGGATCAGGGTTTTTAGCGTGGAGGTTCAGGGGAGAAGGGGTGTTGTCTTTGCTCTGGTGCCAGAGCTGTGAAGTATGAAGCTGGATTCGAACTTCTTTGAGTCTCTGGCACGGACTGAAGACTTTGGTTCAAGATTGTCCTTAGTTTTAGATTTAATGAGCTCGGGAGGGTGGGTGGCAGACTCTGTTCTCCGTAAACAGTGAGCTTCACCACATCATCATTTGTTTTGTACCATGCACAATGTATACTATTGTCCCACACAGAACAAACTTAGGACTGAGAAGGCCGTGAATATGTGGCTTTTGACAAAAAAAGAGGGTACTGGAGAATCTGAGTAGATGTGAAAGTAAAGTGGTGAGTAAAGAGAAAGGAAAACCTTGGGAGGAGTTAATGGCAGTTTGAGAAAAATTCCTGAGCTTAAGGACCTAGCTGTGGCCAGGGGTGGAGACAGGTCTATACACAAGAGAGGGGTCTGTCTCCAAAAAAGACAGACTCCTTTCCTTGTGCCAAATCTTGCTAATCTCCTGTCTATTGTGACCTTAAAATGACAGTCAGCACACAAGACCTGCACCCCTCACACCACTGTCTGCTCCCAGGGAGCAGAAAAGCTGCGCTGATTTTTTCCCACACACATACAGACCCTCCATGCCTTAGTTCTCTGCATGAATCAAATTGGTTCCTTGACCTCTCTGAGAAGCCAGACTGCCTCTTGTCTCCAGAGAGCGTTGGTCATATTTTGCTCTCTTTGTTTCTCTGAATTGGACTTTCTTAGATGTTTTCAGGAGAAGCATTGTGAGACTTTTGATTTTCCAGCTGCCTTCCCTTCTTCTATTTTAATACTTTGCCTCAGCCTGAAGATCACTAGATTTATTGTTCTCCACCAGTTCTTCTCTAGAAGTTGTTTGATGTGCCTTCTAGATTTTGACCTCCTTAAAAGCCATTATTTCATGATCTTTGAGTGTGTTTTTCAAGAGGGTCCTCCTCACCTTCCTGTTGGTATCATCACCTTCTGGAATTCTTCAGTGAACTTTGTTTTTCATCCCCTTCTCCTCACAGTGCTTCTTTGAGGCTACCAGAAATTACATGGCCATTCATATGCTGGTTACCTACAGTTCTACTGCTCTCCTCCAGACTTTTTTCCTGAGGAAATTTAATTTTTAGGCAGCCTTTCTGAAGGCTTGGGGATAATTTACCAATAATACAGCAAAGAGGAACTACTTTCAATGAAGCATAAAAGACAATTACTGGCTTGGAGAGGTTGAAGTGGTCTATGAAATTTCTGTAGACCGTGATAGAGCTGCTGTGGAGCTCCCAGAGAAAGACAACTTGCTGCCAGCCAGCAGCAGAGGTAGAAGGTCTCAGGTCTGTTTGCACCACTCCCTGTGACTATACTGTTTGTCTCAGTCTTTCCACCATAATCACAGTGAGTTCCTCGCAAATTCAGATTTCTTGGAGTCTGGAATGAATTTTCTGAGAACTTAGAAGTAAATCTTTTTAACTACAAAGCAGAAGGAGTCAAAGAACTTCCTTTCAAAAAAAAAACCAACAAAAACAACAAATCCTTAGCTTTCTGCAGTGGAAAGCCTTGTTCAAAAAACCCAGCAATGTAATAATGCAGATACTTTAAACTTCATGTGTAGCTGCATGTGAACTGCATAAACATGGTCGAAAGGCAAGGGAATTGTGAACATTTGATGTTATAAATACTTTCTGTAGTTATATAAGCTGAGGCCAGCTCATATATCTGGCAGAGGTCAGTGGATCCTGAAGGAGGCCCAGCCCTTCCACCCGAGCTACCTTAGGCAATGGCCATCTTCCTGTCTGACTAACTGTCATGCGTTTGTTCCATTAATTGCTCTGACTCAGTGTTTGGGGAAGACTGGCCCTGCAATGCAGGTTCAGCTTTGTGGTTTACTGTTTAAAGGTCCTGTGGTTACTTGGGAGTGTCCTCTGGGACAGCCCTGACCTAGGAGCAGGTTGGCTTCTTTGGGACTGGCATGGGCAGGAGTCCTTCAGCACTGCCATTGATCCTGGCTGGTAGCAGAGAATGTCCTGGGAGCAGGAGCTTCCAGGGCTGTGTGAGTAAAGAAGCATGGTCTACACCAGCACAAATCTGGTGGCTGGGCATCTTTTGTTGCTTGATCAGAGTGGAGGCTTGGCCTTGGGGACATTACCAGGTGTGCAGCTGGTAGGTCTGGCCTGGAAGGACAAGGTGTTGTGAGGTCAGACCTGAATCTTTCCAGCTGCCTGGACTTGGTTGGGTGAGCAAGTCCAAAGAAGTCTCTGATTCACCTGCCTTGGAGTGCTGGACCCCCTTGATATTACAGTGACATGGAAGTTTTTAGCTTTGTTTTGTAAATGCTGACCTTGTGAACCTCCTTGAGCCGGTTCTCAGGCACTGAAAACCCAGTTTAGCCCTTTGCTCAGGGCAGGAGGAGGCAGAGGTGAGAAGGTAATGCCTGATCTACAGTGGAGAGAGAGGGGAGGGTGGTCCTGTTGGGATATTACAAACAGTTCCACATCTTGCCTTCACAGCCAGGATCCTGCAGAGGGGAAATAGAACTTCCTGGTCCAAAGCTGGGAGCTCTCCCAACTCATCAGGGAGCAGTAGGGACAGGGAATGAAGGGATAGGGATGTTCTGGAAGGCAGAGTTCTCAGGCTGTTTTTAATTCTGCCATTTAATTAGTTGTTAAAATGAGTACTAAAAATATGATTGTCCTTGTGGTGTGTGGGGGAGGAATGGAATAGGGGAAGCCAGCAGAGAGGAGGGGAGAGGACAAGGTACCCTGGCCTTGGCATCCCTCTCTTGTGACAGTTTTCTGCCTCTCTGTACTGGAATCCCATTTATTCCACCACATGGGAGGAGCACTGGATTTCTGCAGGGAGGAGGAGGGCTGGGCTGCTTGGTCCCAGGGCGCCCTGTGCCCCTGGTGCTCAGCCCCTTTCCCTGTGGTTACTGCTGCAGGGTGCATGCGGGGCTTTCACATCTCATTTACTTGTTTATGAACATTATTTTCTTTCATGTGCATTCCTCCTCTCAGACCTTTGGGCAGGCAGCCCTCCCGCCTTGCTCAGGCTTGGGTTTGGCTGTAGAGATGCCTTTTCTTTCTGTTCTCTCTTCTCTCATGCCCTGTTTTGATTGAAATGAGAAGCAGCTTTTCTTTTATGTGCCCACTGGGTTTCCCATCAATGGGATTGCCCTTTGCTATCTATAGCATTTACTAGGGTGGTAAATGAGAGGGTGATGGTTTCCAGAAACCTAAGAGTTGACAGGACAGAACATGAAGGTCCCAAAAGGATTTTTCAACCTCTGTGCCTTCTTGTGACCTGTCTCCAGGCAACTAAAGGGTCAAGAGCTGACTGATGGGATGCAAAGTCCTTTGCTCTCACGTCTCACCACTAGGAAGAAAGGGAATGCAGCTACTTTGTGACCCATCCTTTGCCTCAAGCCCTGGGCAGAAAATCCACACTGTGGGAAGGAAGAGCAATAAACATGAATTTTGAGCTAAGAAACGGTGCCACTTGACAGGTCAGTGGTGCCTCTCAGCCCTTCCATGGGCCACACACGCAGGATGTTCCACAGAAGATGCCACTCTCATTTCTTCACCCCTTGTTGGAAGGGCTTGGGAGAATTGCTCAGGGTGTCTCTGAAGGTCCCTTTGCAGCCCCCAGCTCAGTGTTCACCCAACACAGCTCCCCCATAGGAGTCACAGACCTGCTGGTGCCTTGCCAGGGACACTGTGATCTGAGGAAAACCCTCTATTGGAAGGAATGCCCTGTACTCGAGGATATGAGGCAGTCAGTAGTGCACGGAGCTGATCCAGGAGCAGATTTCAAGCAGTCTGTGTGGCTGGAGACAGGATCACACTGTGGCCACCTGCCAGCTCTAACTTTGCTGGCAGGGCAGTGATCATCAGCAGAGATGCAGTAGCAGAGGCTCTGCCGTGAGGTAGCTGGCACAGTAAATCCTCCAGGGCCCTGCAAAGGAGGGAGCAAGCTGTGCTGGAGCCAACTATTCACCACACTGCCATCCAAGCTGTCTGGGTTAAAAGTAGTTGTGTAAAAACAGCCTCCTGAGACACAGAGGAGTTGCCTGGAGTCAGCCTGGGCACATGCTGGGGTCTGCTTTTATCACCCCTGTCTTATTGATACTTCCCAGCCCTTGCTCCTCCACTGTAAGGCAGCATGGAAAAGTTGCTGGAGTGTGAAAATGAGAAGAAAAAAAAGAGTAACTGGTCAGTGAAAAACCTCAAAACAGGGAGACAAATGAAGAGATTCCAAAGAAATTTTAATCTGGACAAAATAAAGGAGGCAAATAAAAGGAGGCCAGTGAAGCAAATTTTTTTTGTCCTTAAGCACTTTCTGTGGACAGTTTCCTAGCAGATGTGGTACAGAGCCATCAGTACAGGATGTGCATCCCAGGTCAGGAGCTGGAGATGCTGGCAGTGAGCAAAGTGAAGGCTCTGTTCCACCTGGCTTTTGTCAGTATCCTTGATCCTTGTTCTTCCCATCACAAATGGGCTCACAGGAAAGGAAAAACCATTTGCCCTGCAGCCACAGGTCAGTTTAGGGCAGGATGGTTGTGGTTCCTGTCCAGCTCAGTGCTGTGCTCTTAGTGTGAGGTAGCAGCTCTGGGGCAGTTTCAGGGGGACTTGGTCTGTGCCTGTGCTCCAACATCTTTGACAGCTGAACCTGCACCAAACTGGCTTGGAGACAAACTGCCCCTCTGTGTCCCCTTGAGTCAGGGGCTGGGGTACCCCAGTGAAGAGGAGTAGGTTTGTGATGGTTTGTGAGGATCCTGCTGGGTTCATTTGCACCTTGCTCACATGCAGACCCCTCTGAAGGGGAGGAAGGTGTCTTCAGAAGCTGTGTCTTAGGAAATCCCACTCTAAAATACACTGAATTTGGGTCAGGTTTGTGGTAGAATCTTAGTGGGCTTCAGCAGTACCTCATGAGACTTAGTTTACCCCTCAGAATCTGGTCTGGAGGTTGAAGCAATAGGTCATGGGTGATTTCTCAGCAGGGGCTGGAGGTAGTGCACTTGAATCTCCATGTGGATTTGTGCTGAAGCTGGCTTCTAGTTGGCACAGCTGAGTGTGTCAGGACTTTGCTCAGCACCTCATTGTCCTCACTTGCCATGGGAGCTGGCCTGCCTTAGACACCTGTCTAGGCTGGGAAAGGACATCTGTCCTCTGGTTCAAAGGATGATCTCTGTGAAGTCTCAGCATGACTCGATTTGGTGCTTTGGCTCCAAACTTCCTTTGGAGCTGTGTGATCCAAAGCACTGAATTACAACCCTGCAAAAAAAGATGCAGAAGCTGTTTCAAGTAGCAGAAATGATTGAAGATGTTCAGGTGGGAATAAAGTGGTAGGAGGGGAAGAAAAACCACCCATCCTCTTTGAATCCAAGAAGGCAAAGAAGCCTCTTCCTGTACTTTTAAGAGGCTGAATGTGTCCATCTTTGTCTGTCTGTCTGGCCTCGTCTGTGGTCTGGAAGCACAACGAGAGGAGTTTTACATTTACAGTTGAGTAATGACATATCTCCACTGTCCCTTTCTTGGAATGATGCTCTCTGCACTTGCAATTCCAGGTGGAGTTGTCCTCAACCCTGCTTACTATGGCATGCACGGCCACACCAACACCATGATCCACGAAGTGGGACATGTCCTGGGGCTGTACCACGTCTTTAAGGGAGTGAGCGAGCGGGAATCTTGTGATGACCCCTGCAGGGAGACCACTCCATCCATGGAGACAGGAGACCTGTGTGCTGACACTGCCCCCACCCCAAAGAGTAAACTCTGTCGGGACCCAGACCCTACCAATGACACCTGTGGCCAGACACATTTCACAGGGACGCCCTTCAACAACTACATGAGTTACACAGGTAATGAATAATCATTGTTGGGAGTCACAACGGGTCACCTTCCTTAAAACTTGATTTTCCTTCCCTTCTACCTCCTTCAGTAGTGCCTTATCTCATTCCCTAACCAACAGGGTCCCTCCAGTGCATTGGGATGTGTCAGGCAGTAGTTGCTTAACCACTTTCTTCCCCAGGCTATTTGTATCCATCCCTCTCTTCCTGCCAGTGGGTCCCTGCACATTCACCAAGGCTGCTTTTGTCTGTGTGTACCTTTGTTCTCCGGCCCTGAGGCTGCTGCTATTATTATTATTATTATTATTATTATTATTATTATTGTTGTTGTTGTTGTTGTTGTTGTTGTTGTTGTTACTACCACTACTACTGCTATCATCATCGTTGTTATCGTTGTTGTTGCTAATTATTTCCCTCCTGAACCCTTTGGGCTTGTCTCCCAAAGGCATGCCGCAGGGGCCGGTGTTTCTCCTGCCGTGCCAGCAGGACCGAGGCCGGAGGAGCAGTTCAGTTCCCCGCCCTGCTGGAGCCTCACCGCGGGCGGTGGCACTGCCCAGGTGTCGGTGCTGGGCAGGTGCAGGGACATGGAGCTGCTGAGGCAGTGCCATCTTGTGGCTTTGGGGACACACGACACCGGAGAGCCCCGGCAGCAGAGCCACCTCACGCCGGGGCCTCCCAGCCCTCCCTACAAGTCCCCAAAAAAGCTCGGCCAGGAGGAAAGGTGCGTGTGCCGTGCCTAAGCCTCAGGCCGGGCTGTCTTCTCCTCCAGATGATGACTGCACCAACAGCTTCACCCCCCACCAGGTGGCCCGGATGCATTGTTACCTGGACCTGGTGTACCAGCGCTGGGGCCACAGCAAGAAGCCGGCGCCCATCCCCATCCCTCCCATGGTCACGGGGCAGGCACAGGACTCCCTCAGCATCTACTGGCTGCCTCCCATCAGCGGTGTCATCCACGAGAGGTGAGGGAGCTGTGCTTGCCGTGGTCCTGCGCTTGCACAGGAGCCTGCTAGAAGGGACAAGGGGTCTCTGTGGTGTTGACCTCCAGTCCCACCCTGGTCATCTCCAGCAGAGCCCCCTGACACGAGGGCTGCTGCCATGGCCCCCCAGCAGATGGGCTCTCCTGCAAGCTTCCCGCTCTCGGGGTGCCGGGAGCAGAAGCCAAAGAGCATCAGGAGGCAAAGCCAGCTCTTAAACCCCAGAGTGCAATCAGGGAATGAAAAACGAGCTTCATTTAGCACTTATTGTATAAAGTAGCTATTTACCAGGAGGAAATGCAGCCTTGTGGTTAAGGCAGGGAGCTCGAACCACAAGAGCTGGGTTTCGTTCCCAGCACTGTCATGGACTCACAGAGCAGCTAACTGGGGGTAAGTCAGGAAACTTTTCAAGCCAGAGAAATGATGCCAAGGAATCAGAGTTGTCTGGCTGTTGAGCAGTGCACAGCCATGACTGTTGGGTGGCTGTCTGTCTTCTCCCCACTAAGGGAGCCACCAAGACCTGGATACACCACCAGTGTCTCTATTCAGCAGCCCTTCTTTACTAAAATATTTCAATTTCCACCAGGTTTTAGGTAGTCAGACTTTATTTTTAGGGGTTTTTTTGGGGTTTTTTTTTTTGCTTATGGGATCATAAGAACATACTTAAAGAACTTTCAAACTTGTTTTGAAGCTGCTTCATAAAGCTGTCTTTTATAATTAAAAGGAAAATGCTGTGTGATGGCTGCTGGGGCACTCTCGGGTCAGTGTTTGCTGACTTTTCAAAGGATGGGTGCTCTCTACAATGAGCCTTTTGCTCAGGAGTAACAAGAGCACATGCATGTCACCTCACAGACAGGAGAGTCTCCGAGTGCTAGGTAGCCTTGAGTCATCCAAATAAACTGTTTTGTTGGGGAATTTATGTGATTGGGAACAGGAAAACATTGTTCTAGAAGGGAGGCACTTTGAAACCATCCCAGGTTGTCACTCACAGCTGTCTCAGGAGCTGATCCATTGTGGCAGTCCTGCATCCCCTGAGAAGAACTGGCCAAGGAAAGTGGCTGAGGCTGGCTCTTATCACAGAAAAGTGCCTTTATCTTTCCTGGAGAGCACAGGAATTGACATTATTGTGGCTGGTTTGTATTACAATAGTGCTGAAAGCCAAAACCTGACTGGGTTTAGCAGAGAGTGCCTTAATTGCACCCACTCTAGTCTAGAGGCATTGGTCTGGGACGTGTGGGGTCTGTTAGCTCTGACTGGTGGGGATGGGACAGGTTATTCATCTAAGACTACCCAGAGAGCATGGAGAAGAGGAGAGATTAAATCCAGCCTGTTCCATGGGCACTTGTATTTCCAGTCTTTGAAGAAGCTTATTCCAAGCAGGATGATATACCATGGGAGTTTCTGAGACCTTAGCTCTGCTTTTCCAACTTCCTGTCTGGTCCCACCTGGACAAATGTGGATGGTAAGTTAAATGGTCCCATTTAGGCATACCAGGGTCTGTGCTCTGTCAGCAGGGAGCAGGACACGCTCTGTGACAGCTGTGCTGAGGATGGCACCTTCCGTCAGTACGTGCACGAGGCCTCTTCCCCTCGGGTCTGTGATTCCTCTGGCTACTGGACCCCAGAAGAAGCAGAAGGTAAATGTCTCCTCTCTTTTCTTGTCTGTGAGTCCCCAGACAGAATCTTTCTGGTACAAGGAAAAGAATTTTTAGTTTCTTTTCTTTTAGAGCATCAGTTTCTGTAGTGCAGGAAGAACTTCTTGGTGCCCAGGGAAAAGCTGGTAATGGCCATGGCTTTGGAAAAACTGACTGGCACCCCAATATTAACCCAAATCATTGTTCAGACAGGTGTTGTTGAGAGATACTGACCAAAGGGAGGAGCATTTAAATGAAATCAGTCCTAAAATATAGATCTTGGGACCTCATTCAAAACCTTAGGGATATTCCCAGACTCTAATGCAGTCTTGTCCAAAGAGAGCAAGAGGAGCTCTGTGCTGAGTCCCACTGAGTCTATGCCAAGCCCTGGGCAGACCATTCCTCCCTAGCAAGGCCCACAGCAGCCAGGCATTACATTCTCTCTTGTGCTGAGACCCAGGTGTTGGTTTACAGACCCACCTTGTGGGCACAGTGGTGACTTTCAGGGTCACACAGTTGCCAGAGGAGCTCTTGGGGTTTTCTTGCTGCCTCAGTTACTCCAAGAGCAGGGTGGGGGAGGCAGGAGAGCAGGGGAGCTGATTCTGGGAGCTGTGTGAAGTGCATGTGCTGCTGCTGAACCATGCAGAGCCAGAGATGTGGTTCTGTGTGTCTGTAGTTATCACAAGTGCATGTTTGCTCCGATAAAAAGAGAGTTTGTGGGTTGCAGAAACTTTTAGACTTAAATGGGTGAAGGCTTTGAATTGGTGCTGGGCCCTAAGAAATGCTTCCAGTGGATAATGAAGGCAAGGGTACTTCTGCTACAGAATGATAAAATTCCAGTGATCCTTTCTGGGTCTGAAAGGCCAGCACTCCATTTCTCTTGCTGAGTGCTAATCCACCATCAGGGGAGGCAAGTTTGGGCTTTGGGGTTAGCCTGGGCACTGTCCTGGAGGTTCTTCTGGAAAACAGCCTTCCAGACCTTCTTCCCTGCTTTGGACCTGGGCCCTTCCTGACTGTGACCTGTCCCAGCAAGTGCTTGTGCAAAGCTTCAGTCTCTGCTCTGCTTGGAGCGTTCGGGTGCCCTTGGCAAAGTTTCTGCACCTGTGAGGCTACAGAGCAAGTGTCACATTCCTCAGCTGTGTCTAGGCTGTCCCTAGATCTTCACACTGTGTCCAGCTGCAGTGTGGATACCATTGTTCCCATCTGAGAGGGCTGTGAGACACCAGGTCTGCTGAGCCTTGTGCATATGTGCAAGTACCCAGGAGCTGGAAGACCAGCAAGGATTATCACTTTCCAGAATGTTAGGGCAGGTGCCACCAGGTCTAGAACATGCCTGTAGTGGGTATAAACCCACACAGGTGCACAGCTGTAGCCTGGTACCCTGGTTTTCACCAGCTTCCTCCTTATCCCAGGTCCTCCAGATGTGGATCAGCCCTGTGAGCCCAGTCTGCAGGCCTGGAGTCCGGAGCTCCACTTGTACGACATGAACATGACCGTGCCGTGCCCCCAGCCGGACGGCTGCATCCTGGAGCTGCGCTTCCTGCACCCTGTCTACCCCGATTCTCTCACCCTCTGGACCACGTACCTCTCCACGGGCTCTCCCAAGGCGCTGTCTGACATTGAAATCCTGACAGAGCAGGGGGAGTCCATCCACCTGGGCCCCCTGGACACCTTCTGTGATGTCCCCTTTACTGTGAAGCTCAATATCCCCAAAAAGATGTCTGGAGTTAAAATCTATACCTTTGATGAGAGGATGGAGATAGACACAGCCCTGCTGACCTCCAGGCCCCACAGCTCCCTGTGCTCAGCCTGCAGGCTGATCCAGTACCGGGTGCTCCGTGACCCCCCATTTGCAGACGGGTCCCCAGCCACCCCCCTGCAGGCACACCGCCAGTTCATCGACACGTGAGTCACGGAGCTGCTCTGTCTTGGGCTGAAGGGGTGGCTGGGTCTGGTTTTATTACCTCCTTGTGTCTTCTCTCTTTGAATCCCTGGATGGTTTTGCTTCTGTTTTTGTTTATCCTCCTGTCCTCCCACTCCAGTGCCAGTGAGTAAGTATGTGGCAGACCCACCACGCTAGAACAACCCTTGAGCCTAGGTTAACTGGAAGGAGCTTATTAAATACAGAAACATTTTCCCCATCAATATAACCCATAAAATTACATTTCCCTCATCGATACAAGGAGTAAAATGATTACTCAAGCTAATACCACTTCTCCCCAGCTCAGACCCTTGGGAAACAATCAGTGTGACCTAAAAGAGACTTTTCCCACATGCTCTGCCTCTGGCAGAGTATGAAGACACATCAGATTGTGATACTGCATGGATATATAGTGATGTCTACAGTTGTGGTGAGCAAATCTCAGTGTTGCAGATGTTGCTGTTCCCTCCAGTTCTCTCTGTTCCTGCAGGGAAGTCACACCTGGGCAGGTGTACCGCTACCAGGTGCAGGTAATCTCTGGGACAACCTCAGGAGAAGCCTCCCCACCGCTCATCCACGTGCATGGAACACCCTACTGTGGGGATGGGAAGGTGACCATGTAAGTTGAAAATCTCAGGCTCTCAGCTGAGGTTCTTTAAGCTGTCAGCTCATCCTGCCCCAAAGAGAAGCAGCAGGTGGGTCCTCCATGCATGGCTGAAGATGCTGCAAAAAATCCCTCCAGCAGACTGAGCTGTAGAGCTTTTTTAAAAAGCTCATTGTTTTGTTAAATGCCGTATGCGTAGGAGATGGAGCTTCTGAGAGGCATGGTCTGCATGAGGAGTCCAACCTGAACATCCTCTCTTCTTGACTTCAGTGCTTGGATTCTGGCCCATCTCAGCAAACTGTTGCAGAGTCCAACCCAAAGGATCTTCCTTTGGAAGTGGGCAGTATAACTTTTTTGCACAGGGCCCTGCAGGAGTAAGTTCTGCAAGAAGCACAGTCCCACACAGCGTAGTGTCTTTGGAGAGCTGTCCAGTCTCTGCTCAGAGACCCCAGATAATAAGGGATGCACCACCTCTACATTGAGAGTGCCCAATGCTTCACCTGCTCTGCCTGGGAGATAATTATTTCAGATTTCCTTATCTGAGCTTTTTCAGACTTCCAGGATACTCAGGATCACTTTCATTGGAAACCAGTTTTCTCGGCAGGATGGCAAAAGGGAGTGGCACCTTCTGTCTCTCCCTTCTCCTGCCTCCTTCTCCAGCTCCCACTGAAACCCCAGCCCCCTTTCACAACCTCCTTCCTTCTCCAACACTTGCTTTCTCCAGAAACAGGTCTTCCTGATGCTTAGTTCTCTGCTTCTTCTATTCTCCCATAGTTCTTGCCTCGGGTCTTACAGCAAAGTCACAGTACAATCATGTCTGCTCCCAAATGCTGTGACTTTAACCTCTTTTTATCCCCTGGCAAGGTGTTTGCTCTATTGAATTCCATGTGTGGTTCTTCCTTTTGAACTGCTGCTGTGGAAATAGAACCAAGATAAGGGGTCCTCACTTATAACTTGGCAGGAGCACAGGGGTGTTGAGTCAAAGTGGGTAATAATACATTTGGCTGTTTCCCTCTTAGGAGCCTGGAGGAGGAATGTGATGATGGTGACTTGCTGGATGGAGATGGTTGTTCCAGGAAGTGTAAAAAGGAAAAAGGCTTCAGCTGTATCGGTGAGTCCAACTGGATTAAGACAGGTACAAATGGATTGACTCCTTTTGAGGCATGAGTCAAATCTGTACATTATTCACACTGCTCCTTAGAGCAGGGGGCTGTGCACCTCATTGCAGCAGAACTGGGATTTGCAACACATGGGAGTGCTCCATGGATCTTGTGAGGCCCTTGTGGTGGGAAAACCCCAGGCTAATGAGACAGCAAACCCCTTATAATGGGAGGTGTGTGTGCCTGGAGCCTGGTTTGTAAGCAGCTCATGCCTGTTCTCCCTGCAGGGGAACCAAGCCTGTGCTACGTTCATGATGGGGACGGTGTGTGTGAGCCCTTCGAGAAAAAAAGCAGCATGCTGGACTGTGGTCCACACACCCCTGAGGGATATGTGGATCTGTGGGCAGTGAAAGCCTATGCCTCCCTACAGGATGCAAAGTCCTGCCTTGCTTCCTTAGTCACTGGAGAGCCTGTTGTGAAGGTGAGTGAAGTTACGGACAAAAAAAAAACAACAAAAAACTTTTCTGGCAAAATGTGTGCTGGGGTAGGCACAAACAAAATCAGCTCTGGAAGCATTCATTGATTACTACCTTCCCAACCAGGGACTGAGTGGAAGGCCTGGGCATTTCTCACACTCCTCTTGCACCAGCCCTTGAGTTCAGGAACTGCAGTTCATGGAGAGGTGTTTCATCCTGGCAGGGAGCACCTCCCCCAGCCATGCATTTCACTGGACAGTGACCACCCCATCCCAGCAGCCAAATGCTCACCTTGGAGCATGTGACTTGTCCCACTGTTGGCTTAAAAAAAATCCTGTAAGTCTAATACCTTATAAAGTCAGGGCCTGAAAGCATGAAATCACACAGACATCAGCATCTGTACTGCTCCCAAGCCCTCTGATCTGAAGCCAAGGAAAAATCAATGGGAGAATTCCCATCTTTCATACGGGCTTTGGAGCAGAGCCTGGAGGGGATTTTTCCTGATTGGTGTTAACGTGGTGTGTATGTTCTTTCCTAGCAAGCTGAAGGAAGGCAAGAAATATGTAAAGAGATCATATTTAGCCCTTTCCACATGTGTTTCTACTGACTTGATATGAGGAACGATCTTCTTGAGACCTGCAGCATGATTAAACTGCCCAGACATACATGTCTAATGACACCTTGGGCTCAGGTGTCTGTTCCTTTACAATGACACCTGTATCTCCCAGGTTTTATCTGCCCGGCCTGTGGGGATGTCTGGGATGCCACAGGGCATTGAATGGAACAGAAGAGTGTTATTCAGGCAAATGGATCACACCTTTGTATCTCATGAGCCCAGCCAAAATCAGGATGCTGTGGTCCCACCTACCAGCTCACAGCTTGGCTCATGGTTTGTTACTCAGCCCCAGAGACACCATGAGATGCTTAAACGACACATTTACAGCACCCCAAAATGCAAAGGTCTTCTGTGCACAAGTGTGGGCAGTGAGATGTCTCTTAGGAAGCCACATCCTAACGGTCTTCATGCTAGGAGCCACCTTGGGGTCCTTCTCAACGCTTGTTGAATCTTCCTTGAAGATTTTGTAGGTGCTGTTTTTCTCTCCTTTCCTTGTAACCTTCTGGGGTGAAATAAATCTCTCCTTTCAGGTATGTAAATCCCACCTTCATGAGGTGCCAAAGGACCTTTTGGAGGCTGCTTGGTTTCCCTGTACTCCCAGCCAAGAGAATGCCCAGGAACCAAATGAGAAGATGCTCTCGGGAGATGAGGGTGTTTGGCTCAAGGTAAGTGAGGGTGTATGGTCAGGCACAAAGGATTTGTTTGTCTTTACCCAGCTCTGGTGACAAAACCCATCCTTTTCTTTCCTGTAGGAGCTACAGCAACCTTTAAAACTACTCATGTAGTACACCATATGCCACAGTACTCTTTGTAAATCCCAAAATACCTGTGGCTGTATCTTTACCTGGTTGCCCCACTCCCACTGTGAACATCAAACCCATCCTGGGGCAGATTGCCAGGAGAAGGACGGTGCATGAAACCAAAATACCACAGAAATGCCTCGAGGCTGAGAAACAATTTGCTCCTGACTCTCCTGTTCAGTTAAGCTGTGCTTTAACACCCCCAAAGGGTAGGCACAGGCTGTGTTAAAGTCCTAGTTGCCTTTGTTCCCTGTAGCTGGGAAGAGCAGCAGAGGGCAGCAGGATATCCTCTGCCATCCTGAGAGTTGCCAGCTGTGGCACACAGGTCCTTCTGATGACTCCAAAGCAGGGGTGGCACTTTTGTGCCCCAGGATGCTGGTCCTGCAGCCCAACAGGGGCTTGGGGGCTGCCCCTGGCAGGGTCAAACCCCTCTGTCCCAGCAGGTAAAGGAGGGGGACAGAGGAGGGCTGAGGGATAGGCCACTGGGATTTTTACAGCGTTGGGTTTCTGACCACAGGCACAGTTTAGAGGCTTTGTGGCTGCTGCCTGGTGTTGCTGGAAAGCCGGGCTCTGGCTCCCTCTGCACTCTGAGGGGCAGCTTGCCCTGTTTTGTTTGAGGTTCTCTAGAGAAGGCCTCTTTCCCCAGATGCTCAGACAACTTGGTGAATCATCAAACCTCAGTCAGTAAGCATGGGTACTGCTCTGAGGTCCTCTGTCTCTCCAAAACAACTTCCTTTAACCTTCTTCTAATTTCCCCTCTCTTCCTTGTCTGTGTGCTCACAACCCACTTAGTGGCTTCAGTCTCTGGCCATGACTAAACCTGCCTCCTTTCTTCCTTTGCTAAGGAGAAAGCAGTAATCCTCCCCCTTGGCCTTACCTAGATGAAAGCTTGCTTTCCACTTCTCAGCAGGGATTGAAACATGTTACAGTTTTATTGGAGCTTGTGGTCAGTTCTCTTCCTCTATGGATGTTTATACTAAAGACTTTCATTACTGGTTCTCCGTGCTCTCTCTAGGAGTGCTATTATTTTCCGCCCATAAAATTATTTATGGACTAGTAATAAATATGCCTTTCTTTTTTTTTTTTAAGAGTTGGCCTGATTGGTAACATATTGGCTTAGGAAAGATGGCTTTTTGTTGACAATTTGCCTAGCACAGCTGCCTGCCCAGACAGGAATGGTGCTGTTGATGCACATGGGTACCCATGTGCACGGGGTGTTGGGTGTCCACCAGCTCCCAGGGCCATTTTAAAACTGTTGCATCTGTGTCTCCTGGGTTAGAGCTGCATCGCAGAACTCATCAGATGGTAGGAATCACTTCCTGCAGCATTTCTGAAGAGGTGGCATCAGTGAACAAGGGGAATGGCTGGGGCAAAGGATCATGGAATGGTCAAGGTTGGAAAGGAGCTTAAATGCCCTCTAGTTCAAATCCCTCTGCCATGAGCAGAGACACCTTCCACTAGACCAGGTTGCTCAGAGCCCCATCAGACCTTAAATGTTTCCAAGGATCCACAACTGTCCTGGAAAACCAGTGCCAGTGTTTTACCATGCTCACTGTCATGCTGTAATTAGGCTTTGGGCAAGAGGTATGTGTCTCTGTGCCCCTTGGGTCTGTCTGCACATGAGAATCGTTACAATTTGCACATCTCCAGCCATGCTTTGTTCTCAGTTTTTAATACACCTGATGAGGAAAGACATTAAAATCACTTGTAAGCAAGTCAGGATGTGTAATGCAGGAAATTAAAGAAGGGGGGAGAGGGAGGGAGAAAAATTAAGAAGATAGCCTGCTGTGACCAAGCACATAATATGTATTGAAAAGGATTGGGATGTTAATCAAGGCAGCTGCTATTGGCCTGACTTGAGGCCAGTGCCTTTCACCCTTATGGAGATGCACTGTAGGAAGGGAAAGACTGAACTCTCCACCTCAAGATGTGTAGTCTAGGGAAGGCCTCACCCAACTTCTCCAACTCCCTCTCCTCTCCTGAGGAAGCACACTTGGAGGTTGGGTTAAAATCATCCAGCTCCTTGGCACTTCGCAGCTGTAGCTCTGTCCTGGTGGGCTCCTTTTTTGTGAGTGTTGCTGGCTCTTCTCTCTTTTCCTCTCTTCTGGCTTTCCTGTTTCTTTTCCTTCTCCCCCACTTATTTCACCAAGGGAGACAGGATATACCAAATAAAAAAATTTGAGCCCTCTGGTCCACTCCTTGAAGCCAGGCAGCCCTGTAAGCAAGCAAGCCCTGGCTAAGGGAGCAAGGAGACAGCAGTGGGGCCTTGCTCATGGGGCTTTTGCTGATGAGCACCTCCCTGCAGGGTGGGACCCCTGGGCTGAAGCCCAAGGTTTTCCCATGTGTGAACAATGCCTGACATGGCATAAAGCACCCTGAGGCTAGGCTGCCATCACAGATTGCATGGTTGTCCCCTCCGTTCCCACAGTCTGCTCCTTGGGCTGTGCCTGGCCAGCCAGTACTTGTCTTCTTTCCAAATACACCTTTGCCTCGAATTTCTGAGCTTCCACCACGCCAGCATTCCACAAAAACACTGTATCGGGTGGATCTGGATCAAAACACATCTCGGCACTGGAGGAAGGAGGGTACCAGGGTGGGGAGAAAAACATTTCTGCCTTCTTACTTCCAAAGAACATCTGCACTGCTATGATTGATGCCATGAGTTTCCCACCTACTTCCAGCTGCCTTCAGGGTTGTAGACAAGTAGCAAGCTGCTGGCTCTCCTAGCAGGCAAGGCTTCTTCCCATGAATCTTTCCACATGTAGCCTGGTGGACAGTTTGCTGTCACAACGGGTACTTACGACATTCTTCGGGCTTGTTTTGTTTTTTGTCTTTTTTTGAGGGCTTTTTTTTTTTTTTGGAAATATTTTGGTGGCAAGGCTGGTAACTGTTGTCTCTGGGTGCCTCACTTGCCTGGCCAGCTCTGTGTGGGGTGGGAGTCTGAGCCTGGTGAAGAGGGAGCAGGAAAGAGGCTACCCAGGTCTTGCTCAATTTCAAGAGTAGCAAATTCAGATGCTCTGAAGATGCCACAAATTTATGTCAAGGTGGGACTGAATATGTGAGGAGAAGGCTAGTGGAAGGCAGAAAGGAAATTCAGAGGGAAAGGGCTGTTTTGCCTCCCTTCCTTCCCCCTCCCCATCTCCCCAGCTTTGCACCCATTTGCAGCCCTGCAAGGTCTCTGGTCCCTTATGCCAGTTCCTGCTGTTCTACTGCTCCCTCTTTCTCTCTCTTGCCTATAGGGGCTCTGAGAAGTTGTGTTTGGTGTGCCTGCCCTCAGAGTGTCTCCTGCCCTCTTTCCTAGGTTTGCTTTGAGAGACCTGCAGTGCCCACCTCCCTCCTACTCTTCCTGGCCTCCTCTGGCACTGTCCCAAGCCAGCAGCACAAGCCGGTGGTTGGTGTCCAGCTGACTGACACAGACGGACAGAACCGCTCTTTGGGTGAGCAACCTATGGGCTGTGACACCAACGGGGACACCCAGAGCCACCACCACAGCTGGGATCTTCCACTGCTGTCCCCTGCCCCCCCTTGCAGGATCTTCTGCCTTCCAAGCTGGTCTATTGGCAGGTGTGGGGAGCAGATGTAAACCAAAAGCAAATCCCTGGAGCTGGACTAGTCACTTCTTTCTTTGCCTTGTCTCACAGGGATGTACGAGCTGTCGTGTCAGCACAACCCCCTCATCATCAACGTGACCAATAGCCAGGAAGACCCATCCCCCCAGATTGCTTCAGTGCTTTTCAACTTCTCCTCTGCACTTGTGGGCATTGCAGCCGTGGCCTTGCGAACCTTGGCTCAGCCTGGCTCCTCTGACCCCCTCACCACCTGCCTTCTGCAGCACGAGGAGGGCTGTGGCCATCAGTGCTACAGGTATGGATGGTCTCCTCAGGGCACGTCCCAGTGGCCACCCAGGGTTACTGGTGTCCTCTGGGAATTGGTGTTTGAATTCTGGTGGTTTTATCTTCTCACTGACTGCTTGGTGACCATCCTCAGATGGCTTTTGAGGTATTGTTGGAATATCTACTGTAATGAATCTTGATTAGGTTATCTTGCTGGAGGGAATACAAAGGCAGGAACCAGATTTTGTGCATGGCCTCTGCATGTGTCCAAAACTGCGCTCAAGGACTGATTCCTGGTGGGAAAGTCATGAGAAGTTTGAAAATGGCTGAGAAGTTATCACTTGGAGTTTTTGTTAAAGCTGAAGCATTGGCTTCTTGAGCACTTGCTTTACAATCTCCATCTCCATCCATTCCGGTCTTCCCCGTGCTGAGGAAGGTGGGAATGAAGCTCTCCTCACCTGCTTTGTCCTCACTCCTGGTCTATCCAGGCCCCTCACTGAGCCTCACACTGCCCTGTTGAGTGTGGTGATAATGCCAACAGCAGCCTCAGCACTTTAAACCTGCCAAGTCTGGCTTTACTTTTGGATCCCAGGCACCCTGAAGTTACACACATATGCTGATCCAGGGCTCCAGTTCGGCCAGTTACTCAAACCACACCACTGGGAATACTGATTTTTGAGTTGAGCTTTGCTGGAGCTCTGGGGTTCTTAAAGCACAGAGGGGCTTTGTCTAGGGTCATCTCATCACTTTTTTTGTCCTGCTCCTTCTGTTGATGGCCTGGATGGGTGAACATGCCTGATAACAAATGAGTGTGTGCATGTGTTTGTCTTAAAGCCTGTGGGATTGTGGTACAATTGATTTATGGAGAGTTCTGTAAGCCATGAATATCCTGAAGTTGCTTTTTACTTTCTTTTTTTTTTTTTTAAGTGCATGTGTGATTTATACAGAAACATAAATCTTAGTGAGTCAGTGTATAAATATTATTCTCAACCTTACATTAAAAGATCAGTGTTCACCTGAAATGCAGCATGTTTCCTCATGGTGGCTGTTACAGCAATGTACCCACATGCTTCTAAGACCCTGGCCAACTGATGTGGTTTTTCAATTACGTTTTCTCATCCCTTAAAATAATCTTGCATTCTTGTTGCTTGAGAGCTTCCCCCTTCCCCTGAGGAGTGACTGCAAAGAGGAAAAGACTCACTGGACACAGCTGAGCATTGACTGGGGATGAGGAGATGCCCATATAGGGGCAAATAGAGAGGAAAATAGATGTTTTCCTCATGAAAGTCTCATCATAGCTGAAGAACAAGCCAGTTCCATATTGCCAAAGCACACCAAGCTGTGTCCCTTTTCCAGGGGCACAGCAGGACCCTTGTGTCTCCTTTCCCTCTTGTTGCCCTCCCATGGGCTCCCCCTGGCCTTGACTTAGCAGCAATATGCTGAATTGCAGGATGTGCATACACCCTTAGCAAATACTCAAATCAGATTCCCAGAATTTTCAGAATAGAAAATTCTTTTAGAGTATTGATCTTCAGAATTAAAGCCTTGAATATTTGGGGCAGGGGGCTAGGCTTACAGCCTGGAGTAACCACACTAATAATAAAGGATCTGCCTCTGTTAAGTCAGGAAACATTCAAGTATTCCCCCTTTGTTATATTTTAAAAATCTAATCTATCTCCAAAAGTAATGTGTTGCAGTATTTGTAAAGGTTAACAATTAATTTCATATAAGGTAGGTGGACTCTGGCAGTGGGCAGGGGGGAAAATCCCCTATAAAAATTGAGGAATAGAAAATCTTTGGAGGCTGAGAGACCTTTGACTGTAAAAGATCACAGAACATCCATGTTCTCCCTGTAGAGAGCTGCAGTGACCGTTTGCACGCAGCCAGCCTCATATACACAGTACGTGCGTGTGAAGGCTTTCCTAAAATAACCTGAGAAAGGACAGTAACAAAAGCAACAAAGAAAAGAGGTTTCCTGCCTTCAGCCTAGAAATGCTGATTGCCAAAATAATAAATACATGACAGGTTGGTATTTTTGTAGCATCCTTCATCTTGAAGGATCTCACAGTGCTTTGCAGGCTAGGAAAAACATAGAGATTGTGTTTATGCTGATGAAATGCAGATTTCTCCAGGTCAGGATGGAATGGGTGTTTCACTCTGGAAAAGTATGTACTGGTTTTGAAGAAAGTGTCACCATTTGCTTTTGGACTCACTCAAGGTGCTGAAGGTTGGCAGAGAGCTTGCAGGCCAAAGCAGCACTGTGTCCTCACTGCCACCACCAGGAAACCTCTCTCTGCTGTCTCTGCCAGCAGATCAGGGGCTGTCTGTGTATTCTGCTCCCAGTCACAGCCTAATGAGGTCAAACAGAAATCAGACTTTTAACACATTTCCATGCAGAAGACTCAAAGTCTCCCGGCTTTCATCCTTTTTGCATTTTTAAACTGAGCCACAGTCCCTCCTGTTTAACTTGGTACAGGTTATACACTGAACCAGGGGAACATTTTTCATTTCCTCTGTTATGTTTATTTTTAGCTTGCTTTTATTTTTAGTGTGTTTTATTTTATGGTCACGTATGCTGGGAAATGCCTAGGTGGGTTCACAGGAAAGGTGCTACAACAAGCTACCTGCTTTGTGTTTGTATTTCCTGTGTGAAAGCCCTCCTCTGCTTCCCCAAAAGTGGGTGTAAGGCATCAAGGGGGGAGTCTGGTTTGGATTCCTCTAGTATGGAAAATGGATGTGAGGGAGAGAAAATTAGATGGAATTGTTTACATCTCTTCAACTGATAAACTTTATTCAGCAAAGAGGGCTGTTTCCCAAACAGGTTTTGTTTGGTTTGTTTTCTTTCTTCCAGGCACCAAATTTATGCAGAGTCAATTTATGAGCTGCATGTGTGATGGCATGAAGATTTATGGGCACCCTGGGTAGACACACTAGTGTCTTATTTCACAGAAATATGGAGTAGTTTGGGTTGGAAGGGACTGTAAAATCCTGACTCTTTGTCTCTGGCTTAGGGTGCCCCGTGAATGGAGTCCTCATCTCTGGAGGGATTTAAAACACATATAAACTTGGGGACAAGGGTTAGTGGTGGCCTTGGCACTGCTGGGTTAATGGTTGGACTTAATTTTACAGGGCTTCTGCAGCCTAAATGATTCCATGTTTCTGGGGTCTCAATGACCACCTTTCCAGGGGAATGGTCTCACCTCTGCCTTTGAGACCCTTAGAGGTGCTCCTCCTCCAGCATCAAAGCCTGTTGACTTCTGGCACTTCTCTTGTGGGTCTCTGACTGGCTGATAGCAAAGACTGTGTTGTAGAATGTGTTACTAATTTTAATTTAAATTAAAATTGAAATTAATGTCCAGCTGGAAGGTGTCACAGGTAACCCCTGGAGGCTAGACACCATTTCATGGACTGCCCCATCCCATTTGCTCTCTGCAGTCTAATAATCTTCTTGACATCAGTGCTCTATATATGGGCTTTATTGGGGGTGCTCAAGATGTCTTCTGCCTTTCCCTGACACTAGCCAATCTCACCTAGGGGTAAAAATATCTCCCAGAACAAGTTTTTCACCAGTTTGGTCTTGAGTCAAGCACAGAAACTGAACAGCTTTCAAACAGGGTGCTTGGTGTTACCTCATGGAAAGGGCCACCCAGTCTGATGCACTTGTTCCAAGCAGAGATGACCCCTGATACATCAAGGGAATGTGAGTTAGAGCACAGATCACTTGTGTGAGGCCCCATGTCCAGTGAAGAAGGAAGCAAGCACTGGGGGACCCCAGGTTTGTCAGCAGAGCCCTCGGTTTTCTGCTACACCCAGACTCCCCCATTCTGCACTGCCCTTCCTGATGCCATACACAGGCACAGGGATTTTTCACAGGGACTGGATTAAATGCATCCTTCAGAAGGCTCTCTTATCTCCTGTCACAAGCTGCAGGAGGTGATGAGTCCACCATCTCTCCTGCTGAGCTATTCTCATATCCAGTTACCCTCTCTGCTGAGAAGGTGCCTCTTATTTCAAGATGAAAGTTGTTGCTTTTGCTCCATCCTTTGCAGAGAGGTCTGAATGCCTCCTGCCAGCAGACAACTTTTCTGTGTCTGTACAGAGCCATCAGATCCTCTCACTATCTCCTCTCTGTCATGATAAATATTTTTTCCTCTTTAAATCTTACAGCATAAGTCTTGCAGCCCAGCTATGGCTTCTGCTTGAAGCTCCCTTTTGAAATCCCTCTGCTATTTTTTATGTCTTTCATGGTGATGGATGTGGCTCAGAAATTAATTCCTCTGGACAAGATGAGAAAATGAGGTAGAATATGTTCCTGTGGAGATTGGATATGGATAAAGATGTTCTTTGGGTACAGTCTGTCCTGGCTTAGGTTGGGAAGGTGACTAGACCAAACCTGACATCCTATTCAACCTCATTTTCTGTGCCTCTATGCAGCTATTTTAGTGTAGCAAACAACAACACAAAACCATGGCAAGGAACTGTCTGGAAATATATGATCTACTCTTGCTTCTTTTTTCCCCTTTGCCACTGTGGCTATGGAGGGACCAACAGGTCATTCAATGTCTTACTGGTGCCTTTTCTCTGTCTCTGAGGCAGATGACAGCAGATGACTCACAGGGATGTTATTTTTTGCCAAGTTTCTTTTGGAGTCACGTACAGAAGCAAACACCTTTTCTTGAGATGGCAACCTCAGTGCAGATTGTAATCAAGAAGCATCACCACCGTTGGGTCTGTACACGCAGCCTGCTCCCACAAGGATGGCTGCCATCAGATTTACTGGAAAAGTGAGACCTTTCACCTTCACGGGAAACATGCCTGAAGGGAGACATTCCCAAGTATTTCCAAAACACCTTTTCTCATTTCCTAGCTATTCTCTTTCGCTAGACCGCATTGGAGTAAACACCTTTTATCTCACTGATGTTGAGTGTTACAATCCAGACTCCACCAGAGTATGTGCAGTGATGACTTTTAACTTCAGGAGATTTGGCCAAAGCCTTTGCTTTTCTGTCAACATCTCCTATAACCCCCTTTCTCAAAAATTTGCACCATGAGAAGAACTTATAAGTTTCCGCTGTTAAGAGCTGGAGCTTGATGATAAGGGATGTTTCAGCAGCAATCTTGGGGCTGAAAGCTTGAGTAGACACTACAGCAATGTATAGATGATTTATTATGCTTTAGGCAGCTGCACTGCATTTGACTTGGCTTAGTTTGATGTGGGTAAATCCATCAGTATTTTCTGAGTTGCATTAAGTCAGTGCTGTAAAACATGAAATTTCAGCTTTTCAGAATTTGGGATTTGTCACAACAGTGTTACCATACTAGCTTTGCCACCGCTGGCTTAACATGCTCTATTGCTGGTAGTGGCTGCCTGCTTTTATTCCAGAAGGATGAAGGATCCCAAAGGAGAAGATTTTCTCTAGTTTATAGAATTTTTCCCATTTCAAAACAAAGTTCTTACTGTTCTGGAGCAGTTAGGGCCATCACTAGGTGAAATTTCACAGATTTCCAGACCTGAAACTTCCTTTGATGTATAAGTTATGGGACTTGGTGAGCCCAGAGCATCGTGCAGGCTTGTGCTGACATGAAATAAGTTAGGGAGAAAAACCTTGGTATTTTGTAAAAATGTTGTTGACAAATCATTAGTTTGAGCTTCAAAAGATGCTGGGATAGAAGTGGAATTTTTTTTTGATGTCTCGGGCAGAAAAAAAGTAAAAAAATTTTGGCTTGTCCCACATCTTATATGGCCTGAATCAGAAATGGGCAGAAGTCAGGAGTTTGCAGCTGTGATACAGGAATTTCATTTATCATCAAAAGCAGAAAGAGCTCCTTCATGCTGAGATCAGAACTGGGCTAACTGCACCATTTCCTTGTCCAGCCTTTGTTAGGGTGTTCCAGGGTCTGGGAGCTGTGATTTATTCCAGCACTTTACCCAAGCCCTGGCATAGCATGTGGATCATGATGGGGCCAGGTCACAAGGCTTTTTTACTCTTCTGACCTGCACTTGTTCACCATCAGGCTCAAAAGTGTCCTGGACCCAAGTACAGTGCTGATAGCAGGGATGGTGCTGGTAAGGGGAGCAATCAAGGTAACATTTGCTGGTAGGGTTGATATATATTTTTCAAGACTATTGATATATTTGAGAAAATCAGACAGCTTTCAGTGATGTGAGCTCCTCTTGAGGTCTGGAATGGCAGCACCAAGCAAGGTGTAGGATGAGCACGGCTGCTCAGAACTTGAGCTGATCGGTCTCAGATAACTTCCAAAATAAAATCCAGTGGGTATTTGTTGGATTAGGGGTGTTGTTAGTCACAGAGAAAACAGTGCTAAGTTAGTCATCTTGGGGGATGAAGAGAAAAGTAATTATTCTAACTCAAACTTTTCTAGTATTTCTAAAATATACCTACATGCACCTACAGAACATGTGCATGAGTATATGTATGTGATGTACATAAAAGTATTTTGTTGTTATGACCTGTAATTATTAATGTCTTATGCATAACTACACTATATAACACTTTGTGTATTTATAGTACATAGGAAACTTGCTGATATCTTGAGCTACTTTCTACCATATTGCTTAGGTTTCTGAACTGGTGGAAAACAAAAATGCTCCCGGTAGCACTCAAAAGGATTAGCGCTTCATTTAATTGTTATTTAATAACAGCATTGTCCCATCTGCCGAGCCTGCCCCAGACAACATGCTGTCCCTCCATCAGCACCAGCAGAGCTGCTCCAACCAAGAACTTGGCCTGGATGCATCCAGAGGGTGCCACGGCACACCCCTGAGCCGGTGCTGTGATGGGCGTGTGCTCCAAAACTCAACACCCTGACCGTCAGCTGTGAGGGTGCGAGGCCTTGGCACAGGTTGCTCCATTCCTTGAAGTGTTCCACACCAGTTTGGAGGGGGCTTGGAGCAACCTGGTCTAGTGGAAAGGTGCATCTCCATGTTGGGGTGAGGAAGGGGATGGAATGGAGAAGCAAGGCTGGAAAGAGGACGTGTGTGTCCAGAGGAAAACACACAAGGAAGTTTAGGACAGTGGCTCCATCACTGGGCGGTGGAACTCAGGACTGGAGCAAATATGAGCCAGGGGCACAGGCAGGGAGCAAAGCAACTGCCCAGAGAAGGTGACTGCAGGAGGGGAGGGGAGAGGGCTACAATTGGTAACAGATGCCCTCAGAAGCTAATGACCTGACAAATGCTGCACTCATAAAACAAATTCTTTAAAAAGGAAGCAAATGGAAATATAAGCTAGTGAAAGAATTTGCAGCAGCTGCCCTGAAACCATTTCTCACTTCATAAACAGGTCTGCATTGAAAAAACAGTCCCTTTCTTCTTGTTCTCCTTTGTGGTCCCCTCCTGTGCCCACCGGCTCTTTCAGGGCTGTGGCCTGCAGGTTTCCACCATGTCTTTGGCTCGGTGGACTTGTCCAGAGTCAACAGCACATTGCGTTCCCTTAACGTCTGCGTCGGCATCGACTTGGATTTTTTTGGGGTTTGTTGTTTTTTTGTTTTTTGTTGTTTTTTGTGTGTGTGTGTGTCTTTTGTGGTATTTCTAGCTCTGTGCATCCTTGGCTGGAAACGTTGAGTAAAGGCAAGAGGCAGAGGCCTCTGCCTCACTGGGAGAAAGGCAGTGCCTGAAAACGGCTGGCAGCCCTGTGCCAAGCAGGGAGCAGAGGAGAGCGAGGTGTTCAGGTACAGCTCCCTCCCTTCTCTCCCCAGTTATTGCCTGAAGCTGCAGCAGCACCTCTGTCTCTGACTGAGCAGGGCTGAGATCAGGTGTTGCTCCTATATCACTTGGTAACAGATAAAGCCAGACTGGTGGATAACGAGGGCCTGAGAGCTGTTGTATTGCCCTGTGTCTCGTCCCAGTTCCATCCCAGGTAATTAATCAACTGGCTGCATTTCACTGATGGAGACCATAACCCTTTGACCAACACTAGTTCTCATTATGGAATTGTGATGCTTAAATAATCAGTACCTCTAATGACTGCTCCTCAGTGGGAAGCTGCTGCAGTGAGGAGGAGAAGGAGACGTGGGTGATGCACTGCAAACTAAGGGATGGGTGATGCATTGCAAACTTTCCTGAGACCTCTTGTAACTTGCAGTGGTGCTGAGGGGAAGGTTATTCCTCCCTTTAGCTACATCTCACCTTGGTGGCCACAGCTGAGACTGTAGAGCTGGACAGGTGTGTGTTGAGATGGTCTTGATCCCAAAAAGCCTGGCATGAACAGGCTTGGAGTGCTGTGTTTGCCTGTGGGAGGAGCAGAGGTGCTGAAGACCGTCAGGGCAGAGGGGGAAGGTGACATGAGTGGGGTTGGGGAGCAGGGGAAGGTGGCATGAGTGGGGTTGAGGAGCCAGTTGTATATTTAGCTTCTGCCTTCTGTCTCAGGCTGTGATGTAGCTGTATGGTTATGAAAGGGGACTGCACAGGATCTGAGAAACATCTTGTGGATGATACCCTAATATTTGCAGAGGTTTCCTCTTAGCCAAACCTTTCCTTGCAGTCAGAGAATCATCTGTGGCTTCTCCAGTGTCCTATACAGAGTTTGACATACCTGATTCAAAAGTTATACAAAGCCTCTCCTCTCCTTGTCACCTCCCTCCTTTTGTTCTCTTGGTCTATCTCAATGAGCCCCTTTGGTGCCAGGCTGTGTGCACACTCTGTGCCTGTGTGCAGGCAGCATAAACTTTGGAATGTTGTTGCTCTGTGTCTCCTTTCATCAGCTGAAAAGAACACAGTGGTGGTTGGTGGGAAGGTGTGGGCTGGGATGAAGTCCAGCTAAGGCAGAGCTGGGGTAAAGTACTGTCCTGGCATCATTGTCAAGAGGCTTGAAGCCTCGAAGAAGCTGGAGCTGCAAGGGATAGGTGTGCATTTCTAGGCATCTGTGACCTGACGAGCATTCATCCCACACAAGTGCCACATGGAGAGAGCCTTTCCTTGCTGAAGTAGTCCTGGGACCCACTGGTTGATCCCTTTTCTGTTCTCCTCCACAGCTGTGTCCACGGTACCTGCCTGGGATCGGGAATTTGCATGCAGCCACTGCTCGCTCATGCTGCCACCCTCAACTGCAGCTCCGATGGCCCAAGGCACATGACGTGCACTGTTTCCTGTGAAAAGGGCTTTGTCCTCCACTCCAGTGGTGGGAAGAGGCTGGGCTCCATGGAGGTGAGTGGGCCTCAGGATGGCCCATGGGACCAAGACATAGATTAAAGAAAGATTTAACTACCCTGAGGTGATTGGACAGAGCACAGACCACTTTGTTCCTTCAGCCCCAGCCTTCTTGCTGCTTTCCTAACACATCCCAGCTCAATGAAGCTCCAGTGCTGGACCCCTGTGCTCATGGCTGGTGTTTCTGCTCTGTAGATCCCTCTCTTTCCCTCACTGCAGTCCTAGTTCTCCCAGTCCACTCTTTTCTGCAGAGTACACCTCTACCAGGCTGAAAGCTGCTGCAGGGCATGTCCCAAATCAAGGTGATGCACTCCAGCAGAGGGAGGGGTAGATATTTCTGCTCTCCAGATGGACATTGCTTGGAGGGTTAAACATCCCTGGGATGTTTTCTCTCTTAAAGCTGAAGTTAGTGGCTCAGGAAAAAATGAAGTCATTGCAGAGCAACTATATTTAGAGGCAGCTGAGAGCATGGAGAGCTTTTCTTCCTTTGTGTTGTGTTGCAATAATGGCACAGAGGTCACCGTGAAAGAGTTTGTCCCACTTTCCAGAGGGTTGGGGGTTACCTCATAAAAGCCAGGAGCCAGCACAGCTCTTAGCTATTGACTGAGGAGACCTGGGATGTTGTGTCCTTGGGAACTGAACTGCCTTGGTCCAGGCAGTCACCTTGGCAGGGGTGTAGGCACACAGTGTCCTGTAGTTAGGCTGTTTCTGGAGAGGGGAATGGGAGTATCTGGGGCTGAGCTGGTCTACATGCCAGACTGAGTGAGAGCATGAACTTGCTTGGGGCAGGCAGATGAAAGTGAGTGGGGCCATGTCAGCAGGGTGACATTTCTTCTCCTTGGAGATCTGCTTGTGACACCTGGCAGGCAGGTTTCTTCATGCTGCAGTGTTGGCCAGAGGAGAGGTGGGCACTGGGAAGTGCAATAGGGCAGCTGGAGATGCACTGTTCATCACTGGGAGGTTATTAATTACATGGCCACTGGGTCTGTGGGCCAAGGCATGTCCAGGGAAAACAAAATGTTCCCATTCTCCGAAATGAAACCACACAAAATAAGGCTGCCTCGGGTGACAGTTTTCCTGTGTTTGGCAGTGAGATGGGAAACTTCTGAGCAGAGCTTTATTGAGTGGTTGTCACAGCAGAGGGCAGCTTGCAAGTGCCTTGCCCTGAGCCCTCCAGTGATATTACAGTGATGTCTGGCTTGTAACCCTATTCAGAAAAATGCACACAGCTCTTCTCCTGAGCATCCTCTTCACCTAGTTCAGCTATACCATGATCCTGCTGCACATTTGGGAGTGTCAGACTCAAATTTAGTGCTGTCCATTAGAGCCACTATATCCAGGTTCAGTCAAAATGTGCTGGTTGGGAGAATAGGTCACATGTTCAGCTGTACCAGCAGTGTGACTGTACTCAGGCAGTGAAGGGACATCAGGAATATTGGTCTGCAGCCCCTGCCTGAGGGCTGCTGGGCTGGGGTTAGAAGTTTGGGAATGGAAATCATAGAACAATTGGGATTGGAAGGGATCTATAAAAGATTACTTAGTCCAACCCCCCTGTTGTGGCTAGGAACACCTTCCACTAAACCAGGCTGCTCATAGCAAACCATCATCCACCACTCAATTTTGATGAAGTCTGTAGCACATGTCAACCATATTTAGTGGTGGGACCATGGTGGTTTTTGGTCTCAGGCAGTTCCCCAGCTGAGTAAGAGGGGCTGTATAATTAGGATTTGTAAATGAGGTTATATGATTTCAGTGGGGTCTGTGGGCTGAGGCATGAGGGAATTTAGGGAAAAAACAATCAACAGAAGAGCTCTCTGACAACGGTTGAAATAAGACTTGATTTTTAGGGGAGGAAATTGCAGTGCATAGAGCTGGGAACAGCTTAGCTCAAGAGGTTTCAGTGTATCTTGAAGGGATTTTCCTTTTTTCCTTAATGTGGGCTGGCACCACCCAGACAATGTAACATGCACAGTAGCTGGATTGTTAACCCAAGGCACATTTGCTGCTCTCACACCCCACATATCTCCCTGTGAGCAGGTCAGGGCTTCGTGATTCGTTGTCCAGAGTGGGGAGAAAGGGCACACTGGGGGAGGAGAAATGCTGGAGAGTTCTCCTCATCCTGAAACTTAGGTCAGACCTTTCTGCTGTGCTGGCACACTGTAAATCATCTTCAGGATGTAAATCCATCTTCAGGAGTCTGATGGAGCTTTGCTTTTTCTGCAGCAGGAGGTGGTGCTGACGTGCAGCTCGGGCCAGTGGGACAGATCTGTGACTTGTGACCCCGTTGACTGCCGTGTCCCTGACCAGTCCCACGTGTACTATGCTGAGTTCTCCTGCCCTGTGGGGACTACCTACCTGCAGAGATGCTCCTTCTCCTGCATCCCCCCAGCCAAGCTTCAAGGTATGGTCTGGAGTGTCAAGGTGTTTAACCACCCTTTCTGATGCCACCTTTCCATGCCTGTCCCAAGCAGTTCAAACAGAGCATTGCTACTTGGAATTTTTCACTTATCCTGGGGTTCTCCAGTTGGATGTGCTCTTGAGATACTTCCCAAAATGATGAGTATCCCTCCCCCTGGAGCAGAGACAACCTAGTGTGGGGATAATTCATTCTGACTCCCATCCCCTGGCAGGCAGCCCTTATCCATCCACCTCAAGGTGCAGTGATGTCCTCTCCTGATAAACTGGTCCAGCCTCCAGTATTACAGTGATGGAGACTAGAAACATGCAGGCATACAGAGAGGACTTCAGAGAGCCAGAAGTGGCTCTGTGCCTGAAGCCTGTGGTTCAGGGGGCCTGGGGCTGTATAAAGCCATAGAGACTGATGCCCACAGCTGTAGAGCAGTCTGGGAGATGCTCACCACCCAGACACACCCAGACACACCATGGCCTGGCTTTCATTCTGCCGACTCCATCAGTAGCCGCAGGAATTTTTTGAAGCCAAGTCAGAGAAAGAGAGCTACTGTTCTGTCTATGCAAGGGCTGAGCTGGATGGGATTTCAGGGGTAATTGCCTTGACAGCTTCAAGCATTGGGACTTTGTGAGTTTCCACCAGTGCCTTTGCTCTGAAAAATCACATACAACAAATCATTTTAATGGGTGCCCTATTTTATGGAGACATTTATAGCTGAAATGTACGAGAATTGTTTACTTCTTTTTTTTTACAAAAAAAAAAAGTTAAATCCAAGGAGCAAAAACTGCAGAGAATTAAGGTCTCATTTCATGACGGGGAGGATGGTGGCAGATCCCCAGAGTGAGCTGATCAATGGGTAATATGTGAATGTCATCTCAACAACAGAAATTCTGCATGAACTGATGCCCATTGCCTTGGGTTGGTCAACTGAGGGCAGAGCTTTAATCTGATCTTTCACTCACAGCTGCCTCTTGGTCCCGCTGCAGTCACTGGGAGGTTTGCCATGGGCTCCCTCAGTGGGAAGGCGTCCCCTCCATGGGCCCCTGGGTGACTTCCAGCATGATGGCTGGAGGTGCTTGGCCAAGGCTGCCAAGCCATGTGGGTAAACTCTTAGAGAACAGCTGACACAACTGAGCCACTGAGGCAGGGACATGCTTGCTCCCCACAAAGACTTGCCTCCTCACAAGCAAGCTACCAATGCTAATAAATGCTAAGAATAGGCAAGGAAAGGATGACATGGCTGTGTGGCTCTTGGAGGTGGAAGACAACCCTTGGCAGCCTTGATCCTTCAGGAACACAGGTGCTGAGTAGAGATTTCATCTTGTCTCTGGCCCCAAACTGTTTCTGTACAAAGAAAGTGATATTTGAAGGAACTGTAGAGCAGCCTGGCTGCACCACAAACACGCTGATCCAAACCTCTCACTAGGAAGAGCCCCATCCACTCCAGTCCAGCTATTTTTCTTGCTCATCAGTTCCCAGTAAACTATCCATCATCCACACCCTGTGGGTGATGTAGTCCTGGGCACTTCCCACAGGCATCTAGAGCTGTTTTGGCCACCCATTTAGCTGGGTCTATCAAGGACAACAAATAGCTGGGCCAACCTCTAATGATGGGTGGTTTGAATTCCCAGTCACACCAGTGAAGCCTCCCACATCTGTCCTTGTGGCATTTTCCAATCCTCCTGACTCTCAGGTTCCAGAGAGGTAGTGGATTCCCCATCAGTGGAAACATTGGAAGCCAGGTTGGACAGGGCTCTGAGCTCCCTGACCTGGTGGAAGATGTCCTTGCCCGTGGCAGAGGGAGACTGGACTAGATGGCACTTAAAGGTCCTTTCCAGCCCAAGCCATTCCATAATTCCATGATCTTGCACTGCATCTGTAGTAGGGTGTGACAGCTTGATCAGCATAGGTAAGGGCAAACTGCAAAAAGCCCATGGGGAGAATGAAGGTGGGCTCACCTGAATGTGACAGAGAGCTGTCTCACACAAAGGCCCCTAGCTATCCTGGGCTACCAGGAAAGAGGACAAGTTTAAGGGAAAGATTTGGGGAGATTTGCAGAATCAAGATCCTTTCTCCAGCCTCTAGAAGTTGACCCTGCCATGCTTTTGTCTGCATTCAAGTATTTTCTTCTACAGCCTGACCAAGCAGGTGATGGAGTCCACAGTCTTCATGTTTTTTGTCCCCTTTAGTATCAGTACACACTCTAACAAGAGGACTTCTGCTGGTTGCTCTGAGCTCCCCTTGGCAGGACCCCATTCCTGGCTCAGCTGTAACCCCACACACTGCTTCTCTTTTGGGGTCAGGAACAAACCAGTGGCTCACCTGCCTGGAGGATGGTCTCTGGTCCCTGCCTGAAGCTTACTGCAAGCTGGAGTGTGACGCGCCTCCCGCCGTGGCCAACGCCAAGCTTCTGGTGCCTCGCTGCCTGCAGGGGAACCACGATGTGGGCTCAGTCTGTCGCTACAAGTGCAAGCCTGGATACCACGTGGCCGACAGCACAGCAGACAAGCCTAAAAAGTAAGTCTGTGGCAGGTCTGTTATCACCATTTCTTTCATCCTCCCAGTGTGTGCAAGGAGCAGAGGTGATAGGGCAATATTGAAGACCTGTCTCAATGGGTAGAAGGCAGAGCAGCTTGCTCTGATCACACAGATTTCTTGAAATACAAGAGGCATTCCCTGGTCTAGGTGAACCCGGTGGGAACATGGTGCTGCTGCTCACAGGAGTGTGTTAAGTACTTTAAGCTGAAACAAGCAGATCTTCCTGGGCACCTCAATGTATTTGTCACTCTGTGAACGTTAAGCACCAATTTAAGTGTTTGTGGACTCCCAGGTAATTAGACATTTACAAGATGCTGGCAGATTCCTGGAGCTTCTGTCTTTCCCAAAAGCGATAAAACATAGAACAGAGGCACTGTAGGAATGAATGGCTGCCTTCTGTCAGGGTTAACATCTCACCCGCTGTGCCTCTCGGCTAAATTTAATCTCTAGCACTGGCATTTCAATGGGAGAAGATTTTTCCTGGGGCTTCGGGGAAAAATTCCTGGTGGTTCACTAGCCCTGCTCTCAGCCAATATCGCGATGCTGGGGGGTAGAGCAGCGTTTTTCTGTGACGCCCCCAGCCAAAGTCCCCATTGGGTTTGGTCACTAAAGATTCCCTGGCAATGTCTGGGTCCTCCCCAGAGTCTTGATTCAGGCCCAAATCAGGTAATTATGTGTTAATTGTTTAATGCCCCCTTCCAGTTTTAATTGGATGCAGACTTCATCTCTTCTTTGCTCTGGGGTAGAGTTGTTGTGTAGTGGGAAGCAGTTGCCAAATTTCTTGCCTAGTAATGAAGGAAGTGGTTTCTGTAAACAGCTTTTCACAGTGTTAGGAGCATTTCTGGGGCCAAAGGGAGCTGAGCAAATGATTATGGCAGCGATCACATGGACTCCTTTGCAAACTCTAGAGCAGCTTTTGTGCCTGTGGCGCTTCAGGCACTGGGCATTCAAACAGATCCACTCAGTTTGCAAAGTTAGGCATCCTCTGTCCTGCTGCAGCAACTGCTGATAAAAATGGTGACCTCTGGGAGACCCTGAGGCTCCTCTGATGTGTAACTTGCATATGGATCTGAACAGGCTGTGGGACAAGTCAAGGAAAATCATGCAAAAGTGGATTACGTTTTCATAGCAGTGCATGTTGACCTCGCATTTTCCCCTTTGCAATTGTTGTTGCTGCTATTTCATCGAACATCTCTGATGGTGGAATACAAAAACCTCATTTACAAAACCAGAAATAATATTGCTCTCCCATCATGCAGATTAACTCCTATGTGAGTGGCCCACCCCAAGCAAAAACCTTTCCTCGAACTTGTAAATGTCATTGCAGAGTCTCATCAAGAGCTCTTGGTGTACACTCAGCATGAGTACAAACCCCTTGGTTGTAGTAGCTACTAGCCAGTATGTCAGTTCCTGGATTGCTGGAAATCCTTCTGGTGTCTCAGCCCTGGCAAGGAGAGGGTGGGAGCTGCCAGAGTGAGAGGTTGATCTCTTCAATCATGCCAGTTTTGGAGAAAGTGAGGTGGGGGAGAGTTCTGGAAGCAACCAACACTGATGAGGTGCAGCTTCTTGATGTGGTGGCGTGAAAGTAGGGTCTAAGCTGGTGATTTGGACATCAGGTTTCTGGGGTCTTCTGCTGTCTCTCTGGGTTCAGAAAACTCATTTCTTGATCTGTTGTCTCCCTACTGTCCACCATCCCAGCAAACACAAGCCTTACTAAAGGATTTAGTGCCATACAGGTGCTGATGTAGATATAGAAGCAGGACCCTCTGTGTGTACTATATATTGGAGAAAAGTCAAGCATAATCTGTGACTGACACTGAAGATTTCTCATGGCCACTAACTAGCTCACCCTTGGAAATACAGTCAGGCTTCCTTTGAATTATTCTTCTAGCTCTAGCTTTGCTCCTTATGTGGAGTTGCCCACCTTATGCAGGCCTGAACCATGGTTGGGATCCAGCTGTCTCCATGCAAGTGAAGGTAATCTTGGACACAGATGCAATTCCGTCACTTCTATTTTTTGGTTGAATTTTCCAGCAGGAGCAGTAGGGATTCCTAGAAGGGGCTGAAATCGTAGTTGAAATTAATTTCCCATAATTTAAGTGAAATTGAAAGGGGATGAAGAAATCAGTTGTCTTGGAGATGCTTTTGTCTATTAACTTGGGTGAGGAAAAGCCCTTGGGAAATCACTGCTTGTCAACGAGATCCTTGAGGAAATACTGATGGTGTAATCAAGATCCTGCCAGAAAGTTGCTGCTTTCCTGCTGGCAGGTTCATCTGACTGACAGTGCTGACATGAAGGGTAAAGCTTCTTTGACTCTTCCTAAAAGAGGTCTGTTATCAGCCTGGAGAGGCTATGTAACAGCCTGGCTTCCAGCTGCCAAGCTACTTCACTTCTAATTCCAAAGTAAGGGTAATAAGGGGAACTTTATAAGCATTTGTGCTTTGTGATAGGAACTTTCTGGATTTAGGCAGAACCTGTTCCATGGCAGTACTAACCCACCACCTGGATCATACTAAGATATGGACTGTCAAGGAGAAATGTTCAGCATCACCCAGAGCTGTAGCATTGGAAAGTGCTGGCCTGAAAGTCAGGGGTCAGATACTTTGGGGGAAAGGGCATCACCCCCACAGTAATCCTTGCTGTTCCTTCCAGCATGAAGTTCCATCTGAAGCAGATCTCTGACAGCAATAGACAAGATCAGGTTTGATGGGCTTGCAGAAATTTGGTCTAGTAGAAGGTGTCCCTGTCCATGGCAGGGGGGTTGGAAGAAGATGATCTTTAAGGTCCCTTCCAACCCAAAATAATTCCATGATTGTGTGATAATAGCTAAGAGATCCTTTAGAGGAGCACTCTAATGTTGAGAGGATGCTCTCAATTTGGAGACCTAAAAGGTCAGACCCTTCAGGGGACTTGTTTCACTTGCCCATTGTGGGATGATTCCTTGGAGAGAAGAGACTGGGGATCTCCAGGCTGCCTTTGTGACGTGTTGAGCTCCTGCTAGCTTGAGGGAATGAAGCAAAGAACCACTCTGGTATTTTCAGGCAGATTTGAAGGTCTCAGCCTGCAGATCAAGGGAGCCCAGCACAATCCCCAGTGAGTTTACACAGAGATATCGTCCCCTCTTCCTTCTCTCCCTGTTTAAAACCAGCAGAGACCATGGAAGGAGAGGAGGTGAGAGAAAATGGGGACTGGAAGGAGTTAGCAGACTGGGCACTGGAAACAAAACGAAGTTCACAGCAGGGCAAGCAGGACAGCCTAATCCAGGAGCCCTGCAGTTTAGGAGGGCCACAGGCAAGTGTGTGGTGGGCACAAAAGCACTCACTGCCTCTGTGCCTGGGTCTCACCCCTTCCAGATAAAAGGCAAACACACACAGCTGTGGGAACCAAAAAGTCAAGTAAAGAAAACTCAGGCTGTCAACCAGGCTCCCGTCACTTCTATCTCTAAGGTCTCTGAACATTTACAGCCCAGGTTGTCCAGGCTGTTTGGAGGGAGCACAGCAGTGGAGGGTCCTACACGCTGCTGCAGCTTTCCTTCAATTTACTGAAAAATGTCTTTCCTTTCCCCCTATTCTCTTTGAAGCAATCAGTCTCCTGCCATAGCAGATGAGGCTTTAGGCTCATTTGTCACCATTCCTGCACAGCAAACCCACTCCCTCACAAGCTGGTTGCATCAGAAGATGGCTGGATCCCTGCCAGGCTTTGCATGTTCAGCTCCTGGAGCTGGCAAGTGCTTGTGCCTTTGCCTCAGATACAGCCCTTGCTGGCCTCAGACATCTCCCTTGCCTCCTCTGTCCATTAGGCTTGCCTGGTTGGAGGGTTGATTTTCCTGGCTTCCTTGTTAATTAGCAAGTGCCACTAACCCAGATCAGAAGAAGTTGGGAAGTGGGAGGGGGTCCAGAAATTTCAAACTCCTATGAAGTTGCGTGTATTTATGTATATATATATTTTTTTTTTTTTTTAAGGCCTCTTCCTTCCTTTCTCCGTGTTTCCCTATGAACTGCTTATTTCATGTATGTGGGAGTGGTCCACACCCCATCCTCTAGCCCAGGGTCAGCCTGGACTGGCTGTGTTTGATGTCCCTGGGTGGATGCTGGCAGAGGGTTGAGCCTCCAGAGCAAGGTGGTCTGGGAGGGTGCAGGTTTGGGGGAGAGGTGTGAGAGGCCATGCACAGCTCTGCTGGCTCTGCCTGGGGGCACTCCAGTACCACATCAAAACGAGGAAGCCCCTGTGAGGATGATGGGGCTGCAAACCACAGCCTGCACCTGAGCAAACTGCAGCTGCCACAGTGTGTCCTCCCCATGCTTGACCCATCCCCCCGAGGCCTTCCTGGGCACAGGGCCTCTGCCATGGTTTGGAGAGCAACAAGGAGGTGCAGTGGCCAGCGAGAAGTCACGTGTGGCTGGGATGCTCCTGGTCTCTAAAGAAGTTTGCTCAGTGCCTGAGGTATTGCTGTGGCAGTAATTCCACACTACCAATTTGTTTCTATCTCCATAACCCCCAGTGCTTTACCCCTTCCAAGTTCTGCAGCTGGATCACACCCTGTGAGCCAGGAAGTTCAAGAACGGGAAAATGCTGCTTGTGGAGCTGGATATCCAACATGAATTAGTCCTTCTTGGCATGTGCCTTTGCTTACCTTTAAACTTGGGCAGACCAAAGCATTCAGTCAGATTTGGGAGAAGTCAGTCTGATGGGGACATCTTTGCAAGGCAATGAGTGTCATCCTCATAGAAAGGGCAGGCAAACAAGAAAGTTAAATGAGCAGTGGACTGAAACCACAGATGCCTACAATGAAATCCAGAGTCCCTCTGCCTCAGCAGCTTTCTGAAACACTTCATAGCTGCAGCTCCCTTAGTTAATTCAAGGCTGCTGCTGTAGGGGTGATACTGCAACAACCCTCGCTGCTCAGGTGCTCACACCACAGCCACCCTCACTTTTCTGGTGGGCTGGAGGGAAGATTTATGCAGAGCTCTGTGCTAGTGGACTTGATGTGTCCCATTCCCTACCCCGCCTGCCTCTGTGTTACCTGCTGGAGCCTGCATTCACCTTGGCAGGAACCCACTGCCCCTTTATACAGTGCTGAGAAAAAACAGATCCCTGATTTCTGAAGGGAGAAGGGGGCTCTCCAAAAGCTGCAGATATTTTAAAATATGAGAATGCTGCAAAAACCTCTAAAATATCTCATCCAGGAGTTTCCAGCAGAAATCTGACAGGGAACACCCCTGGTCTGGCAGCAGGGTGCAGATGGGGTCCCCTTGCTTCTCCAGGCTCTGTGACCCTGCACCATGTGTGGAGGCACAGCTGGGTGGCCCCACACAATGTCATGACCCTGCACCAGGTGTTAGGGGGCACATGGGTGGCCCCACACTCTGTCTGCTGTCTCTCAGAACAAGGGGCAATTTAATGCCTTCCCCCAAGGGTTTCTGTAACCCCTGGCGGCCCCCTCCACATACCTGTGGCAGGCTATAAACTCCCAAACGTGGCGCCTGGAGCCCTGCCTGCTGGCACCCGTGGTGGTGGGAGAGGGCAGGGGCAGGCAGCTGGAGTGTGCTGTCAGTAAAGGAGGACAGGAATGGGGAGAAAAGTCTCACTAAGGATGGAGCAATCAGCTCTGGCTCAGGTAAAGCCCATCAGGGCAGTGACATGTCCTCTGCTGAGAGAGTAGTCCTTGGCCAGACTGATGCCTCACCAGTTTTGATGCCTCTGTGTAAAAGATTTGGTGTCTCTATCACTGCCAGGGAAGGGAGACTGAAAAGTGTGTGGGCTCCGCTCCTGGACTTTTTCTTTCTTTCTTTTCTTGGCAAGTAGTTTGTGTCTGGGCTGTTTTAGCAGCATAGGGTGGTACTGGTCTGCTGTGGCACGGCAGCCCCTTGGTGAGAGCAAGATTGACAGATCTGGCTGGAGTACAAAGAGGAGCCTCAGGAGCAGCTGGGCACAGGCCAGAGGAGTTACTGGTGGAGGCAAACTCCATCCAGCAAAGTATGCAGCTACTGGCGGTAGGACAAAGCAGGACCTGCAGGGACTGTGGGAGGAATGGTTTAGGGGCACCACAAGAGGTGGGGAGCTGTAGGGTGGCAATTACAAGGGAAATGCATCCAGTGTCCCTAGATCAGTGCAATCCCCCCAGGGAGAAGAAAAGGTCCCGGTTAAGCATGGGGTGTCCCTTTGCCCATGTGTGCCCATGGTGAGGGATTGTATGATGTGGGAAAGTCCTACACGTGGAGGGCATGACTGTGCTCCAGGAGAGAGGTCTTCAATCTGCTCCTGACATCTGTGGGATGCCTGGTGCAGCCAAGATGCAGCGTTTGGGGTTCTGCAGGCCAGTCTGGTGTCTGTGTTTCCCCAGGAAGTTCCTGAAGGTCCAGTGCCTGGAGAGTGGGCAGTGGGAAGAGGGACACTGCGTCCCTGTGGTTTGCAAGCCCCCATCCCCCGTCTTTGAGGGCATGTACAATTGCACCCAGGGCTTCAAGCTGGACAGCCAGTGTGTCCTCAACTGCGAGCAGCAAGGACAGCAGGTGAGTGTCTGGGGAGAGGCACACATTGACCACACCTTGTGTTTCAGAGCATCTGCAAAGGGCAGGGCTCCCTGTGCAATGCTGTGCAGAGGGGCCCTGCAACAGTTTGGCCCATCCCCAAGGCCAAATACCCTTTTACCACCAGAGAGCAGACCCTCTACAAGCCCAAAGCTGTTCTTGCTGGGCCCCATACATGGCACAGTGTGCCTGGGGATGCTCACGTGCTCCCAGGGGACCTTACCTGGAAAGCAGAGGTCCTAAGCAAGCTGGCTTATCAGAAAGCCAAGCTGGCTGGTCAGAAAGAATAAGCAGGGGGTTTCCAGTAGGTTTTGGGAGCTGCTGTGAAGGCATTCACTTGGGATGATGGGCAAGCTTGCTGCAGCAGTTCTACTCACCAAGGGGCTTCCCTGGGAATGGAGGCTGGTGCCTACCAGCTCTTCCACCCAAGTATCTTATCAATGCTTGGAAAGAGTCTTGTCAAAAGAAGTGTGGCTGATTCCCTCTGGTGGGATCCAACAGCAGCTGGGAAACAATTGGCTTCCTGGTCAGTGCACATAGGCTGCAACAGAGGGTTGCAACCCATCTGCCTTGGGGAGCTTTTCTCTGGAGGGATGGGTGTCCTGGCATGGTGCTCCCCCGGAGATGGGCAGTGGCCAGGCAGGGCAAGTAACAACAGCAGCTCTCCCTCTGCTTTGCAGGTTCCTATCATCTGCACTAAGGAGGGCTTGTGGACAGAGGAGTTCAAACTGTGTGAGAGCTTGCAGGGCACCTGCCCACCACCCCCGGAGCTGAATTTCGTGGAGTACAAGTGTGAGCAGGGGCATGGCATAGGTGAGGATGAAAAACAAACTTTGTGTTGATTCAATTGTCCCAGAGAGCTGATAGTCACAATGACTCTTCCTCTACAAATCCCCACTTAAACAGAAAAAAAAATCCTGTTTTCTCTTCCATCATCTTTATAAATACAGAGCCAGGGTTAGCTTTAGCCTTGTGCTCACCCTGGTTGCACTCTTGGGCAAGACCCAAACCTAAAGTTGTCTTCAGCATTAAGCATCTCTCTTTCCAGAAGCAGCAGGGATTGTCTTTAGGGAAAACCCAGCTCTTTGCATTCCTTTTCCTGACCTGTAGCCCTCCATCTTTCCTGAGGTCTCTCCACTTGCTACTGCTGTTGCTGTTTGCAGGGTTAACGTGACAAATTCTAGATAAAAGTCATAAAAGCTGCAGTGACAATTGAGTGTAACAGGGCACTTTCACCAGATGAGGGACCGCATCATCCACTTCTGTCTGCAGGACTTGGTTGCTTGGTGCTTTCAGAAAAAGCTACAATACTTAGCCATGATTGTTGCATCTGGTCTAGCATCCCGCTGGACAGGATGCTTGAGCACAGCAGCAAATTTTATTGTTTGTATTTATTTATTATTTATTTGATTACTCTGCAGTGAACGCACCAGTCATCCCAGTCTGGTCCAACCAGGCTGAGGACAGTCTAATGACAGGGACTGCTGAGGTTAAGCTCAGGACAGACCTGATGTGAGGCTGGTGTTAGGGCTGGGATCCCACCTGTTTTTCCAAGGTAGTTTTTGCAGCCTTTTTTCTTCCTGGGTCATGGCAAGGCAGTGGGAATTCTGTGGTAGAAAAATTATGAAAGACACTTCTTAACGTGTCAGCAAACATTGTATAACATCCAGGCCAGACTTATTTTCATGCTGGGTCCCTGTCCTGCCATGAAAGTTGGAATCTTTCCCTTAGATTGTTTTAGTTTTCCTTTCATCTGGGAGAAGAGAATTGAGCACAGCTCTTGTAGGCTTTTGGCTAATTCAGGATTTGGGGAAGGAATTGCTATCCCAAGCTGGGAGGAAAAGGGTCCCCTCTACATCTGTCTCTACTATCAGTGGTGGCCTCCTACAAGGCATGGATGCCTGGCTCCTGGTAAGGTCCTCAAGGCTCTCCCTTCTCCCACAGGTGCTGTGTGCATTCCTTCCTGTATCATTCCTCCCAGTGACCCCGTCATACTGCCCAAAAACGTCACTGCTGAGACAATGGATCACCGTCTGCAGCCCACCAGAGTCCAGGTAAACGGGGAGATGAGCTCTTCTAGCAGGGGGGTTGTGGCAGCATGGAGAGGGATCCTCTCTCCATCTCAATCTGGTGTTTTAACCCAAATTGTCTGCCTCAGGTGAAGAAGGGTAAGACTTGTAAAGGCAAGCAGTGGATGCTACTACGCATCCTCCTGCTCGCCTAAGTTCAGCACAGTTATCAGCTCCCAAGCCAGCTTTCAAGGAATTGCAGGATACCACAATATATGAAGTTTAATGTAAGAATCCCACTGATTTTTCAGGATGTGCTGTGTGCCTAAACCCGTTAAGCTGCTGTTTATTGTCGGCCAGTGTGCTGGGAGAGCAAAAGCCGCCTCTGGCACAGTGTAAGCCTGGGTCCCCAGTTACCTGGCAGCAGAGATGCAATCCTAGGCAGGCGTTTCCCTGCCAAGGAAGAGGCAGGACACTGTCAGCTGAAAGGTGTCTCCAGCTGCCAGGACCCGCTGGCCGGCCGGGTGCCTCTGCTGCTGGAACAGGGGAGCCTTTCTCTCCCCGCCTCTTACTCATTTTGTAGGCAAAGCAGCTCAAATAGCTCAAATAGTTTGGATCCTCATGGCACGACTTTACCAAAAAGCAGCTCTGCCGGGGTAATATTTCTTGAAATAAAAACGAGATGTATAAGGAAGGAGGTGGAACAAAGAAAAGCAAACAATCTTCCCAGGAGCCAGTGCTCCCATCCAAATGCTTTCCCCTCCTCCTGGGAAGCCGCAGGAGGCCCAGCATCATGCCTGTGGATACTACTGTGCGTTGCCTTGAATCAGACCCACAGCGGACAGCTGCCGGGGGGGGTGGTGAGGATGCCTGGGGCATGTGGGATGGTTAAGCACGAGCCTTGGAAGGAGGCCTTGCCTTTGAGGGATCAGATGGCTTGGCCCGTTGAGGCAGTGGCGTTCGGCTTCCCTTTCACCACCGCTGCAGGCTTTCGTGCAAGGGAGGCATTTTGCAGAGAGGAGGAGGAGGGAGAGGAGACGCTATTTTAAGAAGGAGCTCTGTCCTGTGCCAGGAGCTCTCTCCCTGGACCATCTTGTTTTCCTCTCTGTCCTGGCTTCTCTCTCCACTCCCCACTTGGCTTCCCCAAGCCTTCAACTGTTTGCTGTTCCCGGGAGCTGCCATGCTCCATGAGATGGAGAGGATGGGGCAAACAACACTGGGAACTGCAGTGGCCACTCAGAGAAGGCACAGTCCTGTTTTGCTTTCAGCTCTGATTCATTGCATCCCACAGCTGAGCAGGTTTGTCTCCCTGCCCTTATTTCCCAGCCTAGAATATGAGTATACCAATATGAGTATGCTAAAATGGCATCCGAGTTGCACAACAACCACATACAAAGCAACTCCATGGCTTTGGGATGCACACATCCTCTTGGCTGAGCAGGAATTAGTGGGCTCTGGGATTCCCCAGTCTTTGCCCCATTAGGCTGGCTCTCTCTGGGACTGCCCTCCTGCGCTGGCTGAGGAGTGCCAGGGCCTCATCCCGCTCCAGCTTCATCATGGTCTTGACCAAAGATGCCGTAGAAGGACCAGCAGCTGGTCTGTGTGGGCAGAGCTGCCCCGTCTCTAGCTGCCATTCCACCTGGGAATGCTGGAGCCAGTCTTCTTGCCACTGGACATGTCAAACAACAGGCTGGGAGAAAACACACCTATCCCTCTGTGCAATTCCCGTGCTGCGAAGGGCATCCTAGGACACTTTCACAGGCCAGACGCCGTTTTATGGGGCCTCAGATTTCAAAGCCTGCCTGAGCTTTACAAGGAGGAAATTGCATGTGCGGTGGGGCTTTTCTTCCCCCTGTGTAATCATGAGTGTTCCCCACAAACCCCAGCTAAATGAGCAGGGTGGTGTGTTCCAGGGCCGAGAAACTGAGCCCTTCACATCTTGCTCCTGTGTCCATCTGGCTGCAACAGCTGAGTCTGTGCCTTGTAAATACCAGTGAGAACCTCAGAGTGACCGTGAGTCTGGTGTATCTACTTCAAGTCCTGTCTGGAGAGATGAGTCCTCCCAGGATGCAGCTTCCAGAGCCTGAGCAGGGATCAATGAGCCAATTGTTGTAGGCACTGAGTGATGACCAGCTGAGAAGCTGGTGAATTCAGCATCACACAGAGACATGATGGCAGACTTCAGTCTCTTGTGGCTTACCCCCAGCAGCAGCTCCTGGCCAAGTCAGACATTATGGTGGCACTGCCAGCCAAACCCACTTCTCAGGTAGTCCCTGTCCTTTCCCTTTGTTCTCTTCCAGTTTTGTATCAATATAGAAACACAGAATCACTAAGGCTGGAAAAGACTTCCAAGATCAGCAAGTCCAACCAATATACATCTACATGCACACACCCACACACATGTGTGTCTGGCCTCTGCCTTGAACAGTGTACACTGGTCTGTGGGCTCTTGGGTGCAGCTACCCTGGGTTTGCTGGGCCTCAAAGTGTGCAGGGAGGGTCCTGGGGGTGTCACTGCTGTTCTGCCCCACAGTGAGTAATGCAATGCTGTAGGAGACCCTCTAGCTCCAGGAAGCACTGCTGTCTGTTTCCCTGCCTCATCCACCTCGCCTGACTGCTGTCTTCTCCTTCTCTTCCAGAACATTGTGTGCACGGGCAGGCTGCGGTGGTACCCGGACCCCTCTGTCATTCACTGCATCCAGTCGTGCGAGGTAAGCCCTCCCTGTCCCCAGCACAAGCTGCCTGCTCTTTGCAGGAGAGTTCCTGGCAGCGAAGACCTGCTCCAGCACAAACCAGACTGTTTTCACCTTATGTTTGCTCTGAGCTGGGCCAGGGCTTGCTGGATGAGCAGAGATAGCAGAGGAAGTATCCTTGTGTAGAATCCCCACAGCCAGGATGATGCTGGGGAGCAAGAGCTGCACAATAACCTATTTCCTTCATTGCCTGCTTCTTTTTGGCCAGCCTGAACAGAATATTCTAGCAAAAGGATTTCACTGGCAAGGGGTATCCCCCAAAAGCCTGAGCTGACTCCAAGCTGGAATATTTCCCTAACCAGAACCGCAGTTCTAGAGTAACATGGGTCCAGAAAAGCCCTGTGTGACTCACCTGTCCAAATCAAACAGTCAGGATTTCCAGCCTTGTATATGCAAAACAAACTGCTCCTGAAGAATCTGCAGACAAAGAATTCCTTGCAGAATTTGGTTAGCCACTCATTTAGCTTTGAATAATGACCAGGCAGGAGAAAATCATAGGCAGCCTGGAGTCAGTTCACAAAGGAAATTAAAAATAGGCAGTCTTTGTCAAGCACTAGTTGTTATTATGATTGAGGATAAAGAAAAAAGGGGGGAAATTTTGGAATGTTGTATGCTGAAAATTTGGGATTTTTACCAAAAAGGAAAATGTAAAAGGAGTTTGCACACCAAAAATAGCTTTGGGGTTTGCTGATTGTATTTTTTTTTCTTGTGCTCATTTCAATGCGAATGATTGCTTTTCCTCGCTGGTTCTGCTGAGCTCAGCTCTTTGCCGACTGAATTGTGGGGGAAAGGGCAATGTTGCAGGGGCATGTCCTCAGGAAGGAAACCTAATGGTCTACAGAAGGTGCAGCAGTTATTTCCCAAATTCAGTGTCTGTGTTGTGCATGTCTACTGCGAGACACCGGCAGAAAAAGTAGGGAAATGAGGTGCTGTGTGCTAGAGAGGTGTTTGGTGATTGAGCACCAGAAGTTAGTGATCCTCTGATATTTTGGGAGCTCTGTGTCTTCTAAACCACATCTTTTAGCACAAATCTGGGGTAATGTGTTTGAAATGGGATGGCTTAAGTGGAAGAGCAGACCAGATGATTGAGTGATTGTCTCTGTGGTGGTTCTTCTAGCAAGGGAGAATTTCTTGTGCTCTCTGGTACTAGGTCCTTTCAAAAGAGCTGATGGAGTGTGAGGTGTTTCTTCTTCCCTTCCTGTGCAGCTCAGGTTACATAAAGCTGGCACAGTTGTGACGCTTCTCCCTTAGGCTCAGGTACCCCAGACTGACCCTAGTGTTTCCTCCTGTGTGGTTCCTGTGCTTCACCTTGGGTCTGTGTGTTCAGTGAGAGATCCCATAGGGAATGATGAAAAATGGCAATTTATTTGTTTGTGTGTGTGAGAGAGAGAGAGAGACTGAGTACCTGAAGTCACAGTGTAAGTCACTGTGCTCTCATCAAATGTGCTCACTGCCAACATGAGATCTTTATGTTCCTGTTTGCTTCACTCTCCTTTACTCTGAGGAAGCAGTCTCAGGGAAGACTCTTGGCAAACAGGAGGTTAACCAGGCCAAAATCTTGCAGTGTCCCACCAGAAGATGGAGAGATTCCATGTTCTTCATCACTCTTGTAGACTTCTTAAATACTTTTTCTGCTTTCAATTATTGTTTCGTCAAGAATGACCAAGCAGTCAGTACATACTCTTCCATCCAAGGTCTTACCAAAGCCCTGCATAAAGCTTCCTTGTGCTGGAAATGTCTCTTTTGATGGGACACAGGACTGTATCTGTTGTTTCTGTACTTGCATCAGTCTGGCAGTTCAGATATCCTGAGGTCAGCAAGTACACACAGATCTTTCTCTTCCTCCTTTCTTTCCAACTGATGAGCACCAAGCTAACAGCAGATGTTTTGCCATCACTACAAGAGCTTGCCCTTCCATTTTATACAAGAGAATGTCATCTTGTTTCTCTCTCTGTAGTCTTTCAGGTCATCTAACTATTTGTTAGATATCCTGATCCTCCTCTATGGAACAGTGCCTTCTTCCTTGTTAGCAGTTTCATCAGGGCAGGCCTATTTTTACGGTCACAGTCACTTACTGTAACTTCACTAATGAAGATTCATCCTCAGATAGTTTCTTTCACCCTTATGCTCTCCTTTTTGGTGCAGCTCCCAGCTTCCTCTTCATCCTTGTTTTCCTTCTCCTCACTTCTCACATACATGTCTTGGTTTATTTTTTTCCATGTGTTTCCTCCTACAGTGCTGCAAGCTGTTAAGGTTGGACCAATAATCCAAATTTTCCTAGGTATTTTTTTTTTCCCCACATGAGTTTCATAGTAGCCATTGTCTTGCTGTAAAGAGTAACTGATTGAAGGTGCCTCGTTCAAAGTACTGCTCTGGGAGCTTCTGCTTGGCACTGGCAAGAAGGGAGATGCCACCAGTCTCCCCATTTGACCACAGAATACCCTAAATGTTGTTTCTACCTCATCTGTGCTGACTTCCATCCTCATTCGTATTCCTCTTTGCCTTCCTTCTTGTGACAAAGAGCTCTGCAGTTCTCAGAGGCTGTTCCACTTCCCCCAATCCCTTGTGGATGTGGAGGCATCACACATCAGGAGCAGTGTAAAGAATATAACCTGTGCTCTGTCCTCACTGCATGGAGGCCCCCTCACACACATGGTTCAGCTTCACTTGCCATGTCCATGGGTCATATTAGTCCTGGGTTCCCCCTTATTTCGTAGGAGCCCCTCAATGGAGACACCTCCTTAAAGAGCCCAGACTGTGCCACCACTGGGCAGTGAAATGCTGTTCCAGTGGACTGTCCATGTCACCTCAGGTCTGAGTCACCCCTTGGAGAGTCCATTGTCTCTCTGTTGACTGCCAAGTGTGTCTTGGATCAGGAAGGTTTCTCTTCTGGATGCCTCAGTGAGGGGAGCAACCCTACATAACAGGAATCCAGGCCACCTGGCAGCTCGTACTGTCTCTCTCTGGTGGAGTCACTTCAGGCCGGGGCATGGGAGCAGTAGCCAAGGCTCAACCTTCCCAGCTCCATCTGGAACTCTGCCTCATATTGGAAAGTGCAGGTCACCATGCAGTGGCATTAGAGGGACTCTCGCTCGTCTTTCTCCTACGCTGGCGGTGGATCAGGCTGCCTGCTCATCCCTCTCACTTCTCTCCCACCTCCCTTCTCTTTCTGTTAATCTGGTCATCCATCTGCCTCCCTCTCTCTTGCTGTGCCTTGCCAAGTTCCCCAGTGCCGGAGCAGTGAGGCACGTACGTCGGCAAGGGAGGGAGGGGAGGGAGGGATGCAAACCCTTCCAGGAGCCCGTCAGGAATACAAGTTAGCGCTGAGCGCACTTTGCCTTTCAAGGGCCAGCGGAACATCTCGTCCCCTGCCATCAGTAGAAAAACAGATGGCAGCACCAAGGGAGGGGGCTTGGGGCTGTCAGGAGAGAGGAGTGGAGGAGGAGAGAAACCCCTCCTCCCCACCATGGGTTGGGAGGAGGTTGTTTTGGTCCTGGTAGTGTGTTTGACACTGCTGTGAGGGAGGTGTTTGTAGCACCTGGGTCACGTTCTCCTAAGCCATCCCAAGGTGATCACCTCTGATGTATCATCCACCTGTGCTCAAAAGCAAGTGAGACTGTTGACTTGAGAGGAAGAGACATCTTGTATACAGAGATCTTGTACATAGAGGTCCAGGTTGCTCCCTTTGACCATTCCTGCCACGGTCCAAAGTAGTCTGTGCATGAGTGGCTGTTATGGAGCACCTCCTAGTCTGTGCAATGGCCTGCATCTGCACCCCTCTGTCTCTCACCACAGGGGCTCCCATGCTTCACATTGTAGGTGGTTTAGGTGCAAAGGTTCACTTAATTTATCATCATTGTGTTTACACGATGTTTTTCATAGGATGGGGTAACCACCACTGTCCTGCTCAAGTGCACTCAGAGAAAGCTAGGCTGCTCTTGCAGTGACCACAGTGAATGTGGGCAGCATTTTTGGGCAGCCATCACATTGTGCAACATGCTGGCCTCATTCTCACCTCCAGCTTCATGTTGTTATGTGCAGGCAGCAAAGGGTTAATGGAAAGGGACTTTGACTTGAGGTCTCTGCCTCATGCCCTGGATGAAGATGGGCAGAGAACAGAATGCTGTTGTGAGCATGAGCTGCTGGGAATCTCAGGTCTTCCCTGCATGAGGACAAGGTCTCGTTGCCCTCTCATGCTGCTGGTCATGTTATCACAATCGTAAAATGTTCATCTGTTCTCTGTTTTGTGGTTTTCCTGAGCTGTTGCAATGGAAATTATTAAATAGGGACTGAAGTGTTTGTGTGGTTGCAAGTTGTTCCTGAATCTCTTGATCCAACAGGTAGTGAAGGACCCTGAAGAATCCTTAGCTCTTCCCATCAGGATGCACAAAACCCTCACTTGGCACATCTGTGGCTTGTGTCCAGCATTTCTCAGTCAGAATTAACCCTTTGGAAGGCATATACAATAAGGATGGTGGGAAGTGTCACCTAAAACCTGCTGCTCTTTTATGTGATGGGAGACAGGGTGTGAGACTTGTTCCCTGGGACAAGCACTGCAACTGAGCTCCAGCTGCCTCTGCTCCTCAGTGTCAGTGGGGCTGGGGACCCTTGGTTCTCACTCATCCCAGACTTGTGTGTCTCTGATTTTGTACCATGGCAAAACTCAGCACAGGAAACTGGTAAGAAATGTGATGCTGGTGGAATGCCCTGCTCCAGGAAAGATTCTCTTCTGTACTCCTGAGGCTTAAGGCAGTGAGGACTGCAGGTAGCCCAGCTGCACCAAGGAGGCTCTCTAAAGCAAGCATGGCCAGAATTCAGTCACCCTCTCATGATTCACAAATCTTTCTCCTCTCTTGGACCAGACAGTGCTGTACCTCCCACCCTGCTTAATACAGCTTGTACAGATGGTGGGGGAGCATGAGGCGCAAGGACTGCAGGTAGTGGTCACTCCTGCATCA